TTTTCCCGGGAAAATTTTTTTTCAGTTACGGGGGGAAAAAAAGACATTTGCATATCAAACATTGGGCTGTATATTTTAAACCTTTTAAAAGAGCAGCCCGTATAATGAAAATTTAATTTTAAAGAAACTTCTCAAAGGTGACTTTTAACGAAACTTTTAAAACAATTTCCTGGAAAATTTTAGTTTAACCTCTCGGGGTTTTATTTATTTATACCCTAGCAATATTTTCCCTTACTTTTAAACATCCTGTATAACTAACTTTTAAAACTTTCTTTGCAGATTAATCCAAAAAAAGCCCCCTTTTTAACAAACCCAAAACTTTGGGTATGCAGGATAAACACAGAAAAAGGCAATCCCCCAAATGTTCCCATGTAACCCCAAAGTTTCCATGGACAACGGGTTTATGAAATGCCCAAAGGTTTTTCTGGGGTTTTGACGGGGGTATGAGGAGGATAATTATATGACTTTGTTGAACGATGTTGGGCAAAATAGCGAGGTTAGTTTTTTGTCAAAAAAGGGGAAAGGTTTGTTTTGGCAAAAAGGGGGGTTAGTTTTGTCAAAAAAACGAGGATTTTTCAAAAAAACCCAGGTTTAAACTTAGTCAAAATAAAAAAAGGGTTTGTTAGTCCCAAAAAAACGAGGTTTGTTTTAATCAAAAAAAGCGAAATTTTGCTTTTGTCAAAATAACGAAAGGGTTTGAAGTCAAAAAAAATTGCTTAGTCAAAATAAGGGGGTTATTTTGTCCAAAAAACGAGGTTAGCTTAGTCAAAATAACGAGGTTTGTTTAGTCCAAAAAAAACCCAGGTTAGTTTAGTCAAAAATAACGAGGTTTGTTTAGTCAAAATAGCCCAGGGTTTGTTTAGTCAAAAAAAACGTGGTTAGGGTTTTGTCAAAAAACGAGGTTTGTTTAGTCAAAAAAGCGAGGTTATTTGGTCAAAAAAAAGCGAAAGGGTTAAAAGTACCCATCAGGTTTCACATTTTCAGACAAGATAACAACATGTTTAAAAAATTTATGAAAAATCTTAAAAAGACATCCAGATTTTTTAAATGTCAATACATACGAAAATTTTTCCGGGCACAAAGAATTATTGTTTATTACTTTTTAAAACATTAAAAAAATAAATTTAAATTTCGGGGGGTTTTAGAGAGGATTTCAAATTTAAAAATTACATTTTAAAAACATATTGTATACAGACCCGCCTTTTTTAGCAAAATACAAAAGCGGATTAGCTACAGTCATGGCGTATTTTCTGTTTCCGTTGCCCCCAAATGGGGTTTATCTGACTTTTTTTTTTTTTCTCAGTCCTTTTACTAAGGGGAAAAAAAACCCTTCAATCGCTACTTAAGAAAGCAAAATAACTGTGAAACTTTGCTGTTTTTAAATTTTTGAGTTATTTTTACTTTTTAAAAAGGAAAAGAAAAAAAACAAATGACAAAAAAACAGGGTTGAATAAAGAAGTTATGCTTTGATCTGTAAATGACCAAATGGTCAAGGTCAAAAAAATTAAATATAAAAAACGATGTTCTTTTAAAAATTTCCCAAACTCCCAATGTTCTTCCCGAAAAATTTTTAACCTTTGGAAAAATTTCGAGCATTTTCCCCGATCCCCAGGGGCTCTCTTGTTTGAATACATAATTATTTGTTTTTTAAATTTTTCTTAATAATAAAATTATATTTTTTCTACCAAAACGAAGAATACGGGAAGAAGTACCCAATTTTGGTTTTTTGAAAAAAGTATGCCCAACATTTTTTTTAAAATTTTTTTGGGCCTTAAAAAACTTGGGGAAGGGGGGGCCCCTTTTTAAAGATAAGGGTTTTTTTTTTCCCCTATTTTTGGGGGTTAAATTTTCCCAAAAAGTGAACAGCCCGGGGGACACGTACATTTATTTTAAATTTTAAATTCCCAAATTTTTTTTAAAATTCGATTGGGGGTTTGAAGCTATAAGCTTATTTAAAAATCCTCAAATCCTTTCCCGGGAACAACCATTTCAAAGCAATAAAGGTTAAAGTTTCTTGCTCATAAAAGACGGCCCTTTCCCCATGATGGGGTTTGAATCCACCGGTCAGCAATCCTTATATTGAGTTCACGAAAAAGAAAAAATTCCCAATTTTTCGGTTTGAGAATTACATTAAATTTTTTAATAAAAAACTAATTTTTTGTTGTTTTTTTTAATTATTTTATGAACTATCAGACATATAAAAAAAAGGATAAAAATCCCCATGAAACAGAAACAATGTTTATTAAAAAATTTGCCAGAACAAATACATTGGGTAAAATTTGGTTGTTACAAATTAAACAATTGAATTAAATTTGAATTGTTCACATCATAAAAGCTATTGAACTTTGGTCCCAGTATAATACAAAATTTATTAAACGGTTTGATAAAATGAGCCGCTTCACGCAAACAAAAGGGGTTTTTTGGGACCGCATGGAAACCCAGACCACCCTCGATCCGCCAGTCTTGGGACCCATGCTGTTTCCTATCATTTCTCCATTTGTAAATGGGGTTTGGAAGCGAACGCATGGATCCTTCAACGGGCGGAAGGGGGCTGGTCTGGTTCCATGCTGGTGAAACCCAATTGTGGTTTGGGCACGGCTCAAATCATATTGTGGTAAGGGTTTATTTTATTTTCAGATAAGAAATATTGCGGGTTCTTAAGAAGGCGTAAAAGAAAACCTTACCAGAGATACGGCTGAAACTTCCGAGTATTTCTAGCGGGCGGGCAAGTTTTTTACCAATCTTTTTTTCAGGTACATGAAATTTTGTACATAATATATGGAATTTTTTGTTTATAGTCTAAAAACCCTGTTTAATAATATTTTTTTATTCCCTTGGCCAGTTTTTAATAAAAAAAGTACATCAAATTTTTAAAGATGTTTATAATTTGTTCATTTTTTTAAAAAAAACTTTTTCTCGTTTAAACCAAACTTGTTTTATTTTTTATCAAGGGCCCAAACTTTTTTGCAAAATTTAAAATTTATTTGCGTGCGCGCGGTTTTTTTTTTTTTTTTTTTTTTTTTTTTAATTTTCGTCTTTTATTAATTTCCTTTTTTGGGGGATACAAATATGCAATAGGGGAGAATTTAAAAAAGTAAATTAAATTTACGGACCCTAGTGAACATGCATTAAGACGACATATTGAAATGTAATCAAATAATGAAAATCACATTGAAAACCCCCTTACTTTGAAAAAAAAAATTTTACAAAAATAAGAATCCGAAAAAAACCCAAAACCCAAACGAGATTTTGGTTTTCGGGGTATCATACAAATTTAAAACATAAGCCGATTTTTAAACGTTTAATTTTACGGTCCGTTATGTATTTATATTGAAAAAACAATATGTTAAATGTATATGTTTAAACCAAATTAAATTTAAATCTTTTGGGTAATAAATATCGATATTTCAACCCCCCTTAAAAACTGAAAAAATTTTTTTCCATTTCCAGAACCTTCTTTTTTTTTTCCCGGGGAATTTTACTGTAAAAGATTTGTCTTTTAATTAAATGCACTAAAATATTGGGGGTTCAAAATTGGAAAACATATTATATTTTGGTAATTGCCCTATTTACCCGTATGTAATGCAGAAAAAAAAAAAGCTTTATCTGAATGTTGCATTTTTTCATTCAAAAAAACTCAAAATCAACCCTTGAGGGGAAAAAAGGGACCCAAAGTAGCTCGGTTTTGCAGACGAAAAAAAAATCAATGTTTGGGCTTAAATTAAAAAATTTAATGTCATAAAAAAAACTGTCACTTCTGAAAATAAAAACAAAAAATGTAATTGACATCGGGATTTTTATATAAACAGGGGACCCAGTTTGGGCCCCGAGTACATGAAACCAATTTTAAAAGTTTACCCTTGACAATTAAAATTTTCTTATAACTGTTTGGGCAATTGAATTGCCCCCGCTAAAACAAAAAATTCTTTAAAAATTTTTTCTAAAACAAACCCCGGGTTTTAAAAATTTTTAAATTTAAACCCGTTTTTTAGGATGTAATGTCTTAAATGGGAAATTTAAAAGGGGTTTTCCACCTTTACTCTGCTGGATCCAAAATTTCGAGCCTTTTAAAAAATCATGCATACATTGACAAAAATCTAAATTTAATCCCTGTAAGGGTCGGGCTTTAAATGCGTCCTTATATATGCTTCGGCAGATGTTAATTTATGTAAACAAAATGTGCATTAACCCTTTACTCTAAATAACATGTTTAAGACTTTTTTCATTTTCTAGAAAATAAACAACTGCCATTTTTCCTCGACTCAGCCTCTTATTTTTGGGGGAGATCGCCCAAAAGTAACTTTCGAACCCCGGGGCAAAATTTAGTTGTTTGCACCCAGAGTTTTTGCCCGGTTTCCAAGTCTGTCGATTTTTTAAAAGGGGTTTTGTTCGTAAAAAAAAACTGTTCTTCGTACGAGTATGGAAAAAGGCGTATTTTTTTTTATATAAAACCCAAACCCCCTATGAAAACCCGGGCCCCCGGGGTACATGAAAATTCCCGTTTTACGTTTTTAAAAATCTTTTGGTTTTAATAGTTTAAAAAAGTAAAACAATTTGTATTCAAAACGAATTTTTTGATTTTTAAAATTTAAAATCCAAAGGTTTTTAACGGGAAATTATTTATGGGAAAAAATTATGAAACAAAAAGAAACCCAAGGGAGACAATTAAAAACAGCAAAAAAAGGATTTTTAACGAATTTAATCCCGTGAAATATAAAAGGGGTGGTAAAAGGGTTATGAATATCATCGTAATTTTGTAAAAAACCACATTGTCAAAAAAATCAGGGTTAATTTCACAGATTTATGACCGTATAAAATGGGTTTTTTTGTTTTGTTTTCTAAATGAAAAACCATTTTTATTCCAATCTCTGTGTTTATTGAACTTTAAAAATATTAAATCTGACATTGTATTTATTTGGGCCCCATTTTAATTTACAGTTAAAAACAATAACCCCTTTGGTTTTTGGAATATTAAAGTAGCCCCAAATTTTCCCTTTTCAGGGGATTGCAATCAAATAATTTACTTTTTGGTGCCGATGGAAGACGCAAAAATATGCAATATCGTCTGCTTAATTATATCGAAGAAAATAAAGGGAACAAGTCATTCTGGTGGACAGTTGGTTACATTAGAGGAAATGACCTTGACCTTAACACTGTCGTTTGGCCAGGACAGTCAATCTTTGTACCAATACATAACGTTCGAGCATTCTATTCTGTTGTTACCAGACCCGCCGCGCCCTTTTTGTACATTAGAGGACCAACAGAATCACGTGACCAGTGTGCGGCTGATACAGAATGTCTGAAAGTGTTCACAAACGACCCTGTTAAAATAAACTATATCATCGAAAGTTTTCGAACCATGAAAAGTCCGAAAGGGAATGAATATAAATATGAGATATATTGTTGTGAAGGTGTTGTTGTTGATATTATTCACGCTCTGTCTTTGGAAATGGAATTTGATTTTCTTATTTATTTCCAAGATGACCAAAATTATGGAAGTAATGAAAATGGGGTGTGGACCGGAATGGTAGGGGACGTCATAAGTGGAGCAGCCGACATAATGGCGGGAGCAGTAAGCATAACGTCTCAGAGAATGGAAGTTATTTCCTTTACCGAGGCTTATTATTTCTCCTCGTTTAGTATGGTGTCTGGAAAAAATTACCGCTTCACAACATTGTTGGCGTTCATGAACCCTTTCCATCCGTACGTCTGGATGATGCTTTTTGTATCAGCTACATCCGTTGGTGTTATCACCTCGCTATTTGAATGGAACAGTCCATTTGGATTGAATCCGTGGGGCAAAAGGAGAAAAAAGAATTACACGCTTGGTTCAGCAATAACGATGGTATATTCTCTTTGGTTTGGTCATACCGTAAAAACAAAATCTCCAAAGAGTTGGCCAAGCAAGTTTTTACAGAACTGTTGGGCGTGTTTATCAATATTTGTCCTTGCAGCCTATACCGCAAATCTTGCTGCCTTTCTCGCCGGAAGTGCACGCCAGGATACAACATACAACGTGCTTGACTCTCAGGTATGTTGCAATTTCAGTCTTATTGCAATTTCACGTACAAAATAAGATTTATTTTAAACAAACATGGAGCATTATCAATATCAAGAACTACTAGAAGTCTCGCAAAAATGGAAAGGAATGAACAATATATAGAATCATATCAACATAAAATATACAACAAACAATGCCTGTAATTATATCATAACAATGTGCTAAGCTTCATATTCCGGTGTTTCTGCTGTTTTATCTTTGGTCCTATACATTTGACACAAAAAAATGCTCTTGAATGAACTAAATAACATATCACTAGAACGTTGATTACATTTATTTGTTTAAAACGTCACTAAAATAGAGGATATTGAATGAGTGTAAGTTTAATACTGAATTTATTGCACGAGTTGAATAAAATTATATTATGCGAGCCTCTAAAATCAACGTTATCACACACCCGTGCCGATTTTGCGACTCCGTAAATATGGTATTGCACGACCGTGCATATATTTTGACGTGACGTCATTAGCGTAATACAAACATAGTGTAAAGACGCGCTAAATGTTAGCGTTATACTATAGGCGTGTCAATGAAAAATGACTCTTATGGTCTTTATTTTGGGTATGTGATAAATAGAATATTAAATTCGTGTAAGTTCATTACTTTATTGAATTCGTTAATTCGTTCATTAATTTATTGAACTCGTTGAATAAAATAACATTATGCTCGCCAGAGGCTCGCATAATATAATTTTATTCAACTCGTGCAATAAATTAAGTATTGAACTTACACTCATTCAATATCCTCTATACAGCTGACGTAAACTAGAAAGAACATTCGCACGTTGATCCATGTGACCAATCTGTGTGGTTATTACTTGAACGTTTACAAATGAAACATATCAGTATAATTGTCAATTACATTTGGTATTTCAATTATATAAAAGTTGCAACTTAAAACTTTGTCAATTAAAACACTCCCGATTAAAAACTATTTCAGTTATACTCTAAGCGGATTGGGGTGTTCCAAACGAGTGCAGCGGAGGAATACATCCGGACTATTAATCCAATCTTGCAGAGCAGATTCAAGAACAACTACCTCACATCAGTTGAAGACGCTTTTTACAAACTCAGGTTCTTATGCTCCTTTCTCTTTAAAAGGACTCCGCAGAGGTTTTCAGACATGACGGCACTGGAAATAATTTTCCGAGATAACTGTTCAATTTGATGTATGTCTAGACAAATATATCCTGTGTGCAAAATTTCAGATCATTCGCTTACTCCGCTTAGAATAAAATATTATTCTCATTTAGAAAATGACCCAAAATTGAAACCTTGCAACACTTTTAACTGAAATCGGATTTAGAATAGCTCAAAATACGATTTTCAATTTATTTCTGTGTATACTAAATATTTCTTAATTGTTATTTGCATATCTTTCTTCTTGATCTATGTAAGAAATTCAAATGTTATATTTTGGATCTTAAAGGAGTCCCTTTAATTAGTTTCAGTATTAATACGTATGTCTATTTTAGATATATATACCATGAATTCTTTCATGTGGGAATCCTATCCAGCTACCTTGTGAAATGTCAGATGGCGTTCGTACCAAAAGTAATACGAGAAGGTGCCTGTACTAACCCACCAGTTAAAGCTTAATTTGCCTATTGATCTTAAATGTCACCAAAGAAATGAAAGCAACACAACAACACAAACCTAACAAAATGATTAAATAAAGTAGTATAAGAACTTATTTTTAACTACATGTATCTTTAAAAACTTAAAGAAGAATCGTTGAAAGAGCCTTCAAACATGTTTTGCCTTGAAGTTCAGGATGTTTAACTTAACAAAGCATTGCTTTTTTAGGAATGACAAGTTGGACCTATATATTGACGATACTCCACTTTTAGAATACGCCTTATCGAAATATGATGATAACTGTTCGATCAAATTTGCATCGCATTACTTTGGAGAAAATGCCTACGCTTTTGGTGTAAAGAAAGGGTCTATGTTGAAGGTATGTTCACGTAAAATTATCAAGATTTGATCAATTAAACATATTCTTACTGAATATGTATAAAAATCATGTTTCTTATTAGAATATACTTATGAATGTTCGATTTGCAGACTTGTAGTTACGTAATTTTTAAACAAAACTATAACTGTGAAAATGTCAATTTTAAAATAAAAACAAATGTCTTCCGCGTGCTTACGAAAATCCTTGAAGTGAAAATCCATCAGAAGGAAAATAATGTATATCTAAATTAAATGTGTACGGGAATATTTTGTTCTTTCAGCATAAGCTCGATCCTATCGTGTTGAACTTTGTCGAGCTTGGGTATGTTAAAAATTTTGGAATGGAAAAATAAAAAAATTTTGGAAAAAAAAATGGGGAAACAAAAATTTTTTCTAACTCAATCCAAACCCCAAACATCGATGACATGCATTTAAATTTTTGGGGTCAACTGGGGCCCCTCTTTGTGATGCTTTTGGGTTTTGCGGGTCGGTTTGTCAAAAAAATTTCTTCGGGGTTTTTTGACATATAACCTTTTTTCGTTATTCTCCCGGGAGGTTAAAGAAAAAACCCCCCAAGATAGAAATTTGGAAAAGAAAAAAATATGGAATATTTTAGTCAGGTAAAATGACCTATTTCCTTTCAAAATAATGATAGATAATGGATTTTCCCCGAAAAATCGATTTGATTATATTTGAATAAAAGCATTTTCTTTTCTGGCAATCTAAATTTAATATTGCAATTTAGAAATCATGGAAAAAATTGTGATAAATTTCCCTTTGGGAATAGTCCTTTTGAAACCCCTATAAAGGTGGCCAATACATTGAGAAAACAAAAGGAAAAACAATTTCCCACCAAACCATTCACAAAAAATTTTGTTTAAAAGATCACAAAATTTAAAATGAAAATGTGATATAAAAAACCAAAAAGCATGATATTCGTTGCCATAAGCAAATTATATAGTTTTTTTAATATTAATCGTGCAATTTATGATTGCATGAAATTTAAAAAAATGGATTGAATAGATGTTCAAGTGATGTTGACTTGCCCTGGTCCAATGAGAATAGGAAAGAAAACTGAATGAAAATGTAGTAATTTAATGACTTGGATTGTTTAAAAAATGTCTTTTAAACCAGTCACTAATTTCTGTTACAGAGACTTTACAAATCAATCAAACAGTGAAAAAAGGTAGAGCCACCTGATTAAAAAGCCTTTCTTTCTAAAGTCAAAAGGAGGAAATTTGAAATACAGAAACAGATTAAAACAGGTAATTATCAAACTGATTAATGAAAATGCAATAACATTCATATATTTTAACTGTTTTTTCAGATAAATTCCAATAAAGAAAATGAAAACGGAAATTAAACAATTCTTTACTTATGTTAATTTACATATATTTTTTTTATGATCAAAGTATAATATTGACTGTCATGTACATGTATTACCATTGGGAGAAAAGCTGAAATTACACACTCTGTATGATTGCTAGAATAGAACAATGAATTAATAAAAGCTATTTTTCCACAGAGAGACACCTCATACACTTAATAAATCTTTATTTATTTCAGGCAAGAAAGTTTGTCCCGCATGATTTGTCATCATAAAAAGAAATATAGAAACGGCGAATAAAAACCATAATCTTAGATGTCGCGTAAGTAGTTCTGCATTCATCATAATTGATGATTGTTCTTCTTAATTCTGCAATTTCTCTATTGTGCCAGAATAGCATTTTCATAAGTACCTACGTATTTTAACCTCTGGTAAACTTTATGTCATCAAAAATTGTAAATACTAAGATTTTAGGAACAAGTGTTTCAGCTTTCAGTGATAATAGAAAATATAGCAGAATCCATGGCATATTTTAAAATCCTAAACTCTAAACTATAAATGAGCCGCGTCATGACAAAACCAACATAATGGGTTTGCCCAGACAAGCCTGCGCATCCGCGCAGTCTGATCAGGATCCATGCTGTTCGCTTACAGACCCTATAACAAGTAAAGAACTGATAGCGAACAGCATGGATCCTAATCAGGGCGGGGGGCGCGGATGCGTAGGCCTTTTCTGGGATCCCTGTTGGTCCCCCAAAACCCCTTATGTTGGTTTTTTCGTGGCGGGGGCTCAAAAACTGAAGAAAAAAATTTGGGGAACAATGGTAAAATAGCTTTCGGACAGAAATTTGAAAGTCAAACCGACAAAATTTAAAACAGGGCAACCCAATATCGTGATCGGGCCTTCAGTATAATGACCCGAATATCATCCTTTAAAAGACATTTTTAAAAAACATTTAATTTTTCTTTTTATAAAAATAAACAGTTATGCGTTTTACAAATTTTATATGCACGAATTTTAAAAGCAAAAATTTTTAAAATTTTTAAATTTTCAAAAAAAAGAAAATTCGGCATGTAATAATTTTTGGCGGGCCCAAAAACAAAAGCAACAGAGCTAAAAATGTGAATTTAAAACCCCTGGGAAACAAATTTAAAAAAAAATTAAACTGTAAAAAACCCCCAAAAAACCCCAAACACTTTAATGAATAAAAAGACAGGGGAATCAATTAGTTTTTTCAATTTTTTTTTAATTATTTAAAAACAATGTTTTTTTTTAAAGGGATAAAAAGGTTTCCGAGAGCAACAATTTAGGGCACCCCAACCGTCAGATTCTTCAAAGATTTTTTGGGTCAATAAATGATGAAAAAAGCTGAGATATTTTCCCAAAATTTACCCCCGGAATTTTTCCAAAGCCCTAAAAGACTCTCTAATTTCTTTAGACAAAATTACTAAATTTTTTTGACAACCAGGGATTCGAGGGCCCGACGACATAGCATTTCTTTGGAAAATCAAGGTAAAAGTCTTTAACCCAAAAGTGACAGGTCAGCATTCAGACGGAAAAAACGGGGTAAGTTTGGTGGACCCAAACTATTGTTTTTAAATGGATTTGTTTCCCGAGAAACAGACAAATGAAAAGGAAAACTCTCGAAATTTTAAAGGGGAAAAGTGAACGGCGAAACTCTAAAAACCCCGTTCTTTGGGGGAAGGATAAACGGTACGAGACATGGCCATACCAAAAACGCGTAAAAAGGGAAATCTTAAAAGATCACAAAAAAAACAAAGCTAAGGGCATTCTTTAAATGCAAATACGGGTTTAAAAATACTTCAAAGCTGAAAAGAATAGTGGGAAAGAAATAAACCCCGTGAAAAAAGTGCCGAAAAGTGTTCCTCGTCTTCCCCTTTGTGGTTTTTAAAAGACAGAAAAAAAAGAATTTAACTTAAACATAAAAAAATAAAACTTAAACAAATATAAAGAAATCATGCAATGGCTTTCGGGGCAGGGCAGGAAAAACGATAAAAGGCGTTTGATCAGGGTTCAAATGGAAAACTTTTTCTAAAGAAAATTTGCTCGTACTGTGGAAAAAATCTGAAAATTTTTTTTTCAAACCCCGTCTCAATAGAATTTTACACAAAAAAGTCATTTTGCGGCGGCTGGTCCAAATTTGCAAAAAGACTATCCCCCAAGAAGTTTTTAAAAGGGGGACAAAACAAAAAAAAGACGCTAGGATAAGGAAAATATCAAATGGACATGTAAAACAAATGAATGAAACCCCCAATGCAAAAACCCACAAAATATCCAGTCATCTACAAAAATTTGGGTTTTGTTACGAAGATGCTGACGAGGAGGAAAAACAAAAAAATTTAAAAAGAGAAAATAATTTCGAGACTAAAAGTACACAATTTAAAATAAAATTATAAAAAGTGATGCAAAAAAAGGTAGGTTTTAATAAATTTTCAAAAAAGATAAAAAAAATTTTAAGGATGTAAAAAAAACAAAAATAAAATTGAAAACAAAGACTAAATTTAATAAAAACAAACAATATCTAGTATATTTACAGACGTACAGAACAAAAAGATGACGTTTAAAAAAGGGCTCAAAAAGTTAATTTTCACAAAACTCCCATCACTATTGGGGAATTTAAAAAATGCTTTATAGTTAAAAAAATTTTCCCCAGTGGAGCATCGTGGGAACCCCACTTTTATAATGCCAAAGAAAAGGTTTTTTAAATGTAATTTAAAAATTTTTAAAGGGGGTTGGAATTAATTTTTAAAACCATATTTTTAAAAAGGGGGTTTGTCAGGGGTTTTTACAGCTTTTTAAAATAAAACCTCGCCCCCCTGTTTTTTTTTAATTTTTTAAGGGGAAAATTTTATTTTATATGCGGTGAGTATTTTTAATTCACCCAATTTTAAACCAAACTTTTAAAAAAAAAAGCCACATTAAGGAAAAAATTCATAATAGGTGGGAAAAATATTAAATAACATTGATTTTTAATCATCACCCAGAATATTGAAATTTTAAAATTTGAATAAATTTTTATTTAACCCTCTTCACCTTTTTTTTAAACCTTTTTTAAATATGACATTATTTTTTAAAAACCCCCAATAAAATTATTTTTATTCGTGTTTATATTGTCAAAAGGGTTTTTAAAAAACCCGTTTTACCAACAAACACCGGCATTTTTTTAAAAATTAAATTTTTTAGACAAAAAAGGATAATTACTCAAAAAGCCCAATTCCCGGAGAATTAAAAAGATTAAGGAAAAATAACCCAAAAAATTTTTGGCCCCTACCCCAAAAAAACCAAAAATTTTTTCCATACTTTTAAAAAAAAAAGGAAAAATTAAATAAAAAAATTTTAAAAGGCTTTCTGCCAAATTTTTAGGGCCCCTTTTCATTTTGTCCTTACTAAAAGTCAGCATAAAAAAAATTACAACAATTTCCGTTTTGTTCAAAAAATTTTTTTAAAAAATTCCAAAAATTTTAAAAAAACCAGTGGCCCCATTTTTATGGCCCAAAAAAAAAAGCTTTAATATAAAATTTCTCCCAATTAAAAAACCCGATGGTGGCCCTTTTTAGCCCTGCATTTAAAAGGGGAACTTGCGTCAAAAAACATACCTTTCCCTTTTTTTTTAACTAAAAAAGGATTTTTATCCCCCCTTTTTGTAAAGCTAGACTGTATGCATGTATGTTATAACATAGATGCCATCATTTATATACAAAACCACTTATCAAAATTGCTAAATGATTGTTTTCGAATTTGAATAAAATGTATGCCTTGAAAGGAAAGAAGTCAAACCCCGCTCTAATTTACCGCCTAATACAGCCTAATACCACGTGACCGTTATGCACAGATGACTCGCGCATTAAATTTTGTAATTCCCGCCATGTTAAGACATACTATATCGTGCGGAACTTTCGATGTCTGCCCATCTTTGATTCTGTCAAACACTGGTCAAAGACTACGTGCGCTTCAGCCACTAAGAACATTAATAGAGTGAATGCAGAAACCTATGAAAAGGAAAAAATATTGTAAAAAAGTAATGCGTTAACGAGTGTTGAAAATTAGATTCTAATTCAATTTGATAGGTTTGAATTGAACAAATTAAATGTGGACGTGGTAGTGAAAGTAGTCTTTTTGGAAAAGATAGAACCTAAAGAAGTCATCTCAGATTTTCAGTTTCAATCATGACTAAATGAACCACCGACCTAACTAACTAAATGAATTCGTGTCATATGATAAAAAAACCCTAGAATATTGCATCAAAGGTTCGACGTAACATGTACAAGAGAATTTCACATTTATAGTCATCATATTGCGGTTTAACTTTTCACAATTTTAGTGAATTAATAATATTTGAATCGATAAGTATGTCATAAAAAACAAAACGCAACGATTAATATTGATAAAAGCTGCATTCATAAACTTTAACAATGCACGTCAGCAAAGCTATACAGTATCAATGATGTATTATATTTCACTTTTAAAATCCATTGTTTTATCAATTAAGTTAGAAAAAAAACAAGATTTATTTTAGCTCGACTTTGAAGTAACCATTTAGTTACATTAATTATCTCTATGTTGAAGGTTTTTTAGCAATCTGGTACGCTTCCAGGAACTTTGGACTGACTGACTGACTGACTGACTGTTTGTTTGTTTGTTTGCTTGCTTCGTCCCAACAGTATTTCAGTCATATAGGCGGGTAGTTTCCTAACCATCGTTCCTGGAGAGTTACACCTTCCTCCCTGCTAAACTACCAAAGCATCTCCCGGGGATCGAAACCACGCCAGAGAGGTAACTGGATTAGAAGTCATCGACTCTAACCCCTTACCCACGGAGGAGGTGACTGACTGACTGACTCTGATTGATTGAATGAATGAATGAATGAATGAATGAATGAATGAATCTGGGACATACGTATATCCCAGAATGAATGAATGAATGAATGAATGAATGAATGAATGAATGAATGAATTAATCAATCAATCAATTAATTAATTAATTAATATGTTATGTGTTCCTCTGTACACCCATGGAGTTAAATATAAGACTGTTTATATATCTGTGCCTGTGGTACACCTGACGTATGTCGACAACAATTTCATAACTTTTCTATTCGGTATTAGCTTTGTAGTCATGTGACCGTACAACACATCAAAATGGCGACGAAACAAGTGGTTGGATATTTTCTTTTAATTTTCGTTCATTTTGCAAGAGCGAGTCAGCTAGGCTTCCCAGATGATGCATCATCATGCAAAGAAGTTTGCAAAAATGCTTATTCACCGCATACTTATGAAAAGGTGAGTTATTTGTTCAATAAATGTTCCATTTGTTAGATTTTGTCTAAAATAAACAACAAAAGAAATCGATAAACAAATGGACTTTATTTACGTTTGATAGAAGCAAATAGGAGCTGTTCTCTGTTATTTAGGCGTTATAACGTCAATTTATAGGTTGAAAAAAGTCTATATATAGATGAAATGTGAATTTTGCGTGTTTACTTTTTTTTATTATAAATATTCATTATCAGGTTTGACCTGATTAACTTTTTCATATTTATAATTGTTAAGTGTGTGTTTCTGATTATTGGCAACTACGTTTTGTTGACTTAAACTGTAGACATGCACTTTAAGTCACTTAAGAATGCTAAATGAAACTTAAATTTGCTACAGTACAGTTGCAGTGATAAACAACATGTCATAGTAACTTAATATTGTATTTTATTTAATGATCAAGTTAAATACAGTGTTTGAAATAAGCAGTAGTCCGATAGCCCCTGACTACTTGATTTCTCCTCGGGCTTCCAACTTTTCACAGTAACAAGCCCGACCAGGCTACTGTATTTTCAGAGGCAATATAAACAACTGTTTTGAGCAAATGAATCGTGCTTGTGAAATGTCTTTTGGCCTAGTGAATATTCCAATCTAGTAGTCCGACCAGCCTAGTCAATTCAAATCCTAATTTCTTACACTGTAAATATAAAAAAATGCATAAGTTAAACAGCTTAAGGGCGTCAAAACTAATGACTCTAGGATATAATATATATATAACATAAAGCCCGGGGGCACACTTTGTTGGGCTAGTCATATACATTGATTAAATCTTTGTTTGTCCAGCAAATGTAATCATCTATAATAACCACAACAATGTTTTTATACATATTCATACGGGGGAAGTCAAAGGCTGGGCTTTGACTCTCCTGGCTTTAGACTACACATGTATATTTAAAAGGAACCCAAATAGAAATAATTGAATAAATACATAGTATTAGATTTCTATTCCTATCGGTGAAATTTTCAGTGTCATCTCTAATTGTGAGCTGCCATTTTTTATGTAACTAAATGATAATCGGCAGGAAATTCCGATAACAAAACAATCACAACTTTTTCGTTAAAGAAATATCATTGAGGTATTGGATTGAAAAACAGAAGCAGTGCCTGAAATACGGAACAACACCTTCAGGGTTCGACATTAACGGGATCCCGGGATTCCGAGGATCCCAAAAAGTCGGGAGGAATCTCTGTGACTCCTAGCTGGGGATTCCGTTGGGATCCCTGAAAAATTGCTGTGTAAATTTTTGAAATTGTCTGAATTAATATCATTTAATCACAAATATTCAAGAAAAGTGATAATAAAGACTGGCACAACTGCAATGTTCAAGAAAGAAAAGAAAAATCTCGCCGGTAAAATCTACGCTCTTGAATCATGTATGCCAGATTTCCTTTGTGCAGTGACTGCTATCAACTCATTTGCGATATATAATGAAAAATATTTTAGCTAAAGAAACATTCTTGAATAATTTTATATCATGCATTGACTTCATAATGTTAAGTTGTGAAAATTCAAGAAAGAAATATAATTATCATACAATTTTTTACACCAGCGGTGTATACTTCAAATATGTGCAGATCGGCGCTGCCGGCGGTAGCTACGAAGTGAACATGTACGTGTTTGGTTTTTTTTGTGCCAAAATTCGGCATTTGTGATCATTGTAAATTTTCGTAAAAAAAGGAAAAAAACAACAAAAATTACCGATGTTTTTTTTTCTCCCTGTGGTACAGCAAAAGTATAATTAATAAATAGAATAAAAAGAATCCATACTTTTCAGTTTAAAATCCTTTTTGAAACTCTGCAGCATTAAATGCTAAAAAATATTGTCTAACTAAAGACTGAAGTGTTCTAAGGTCAATCAAGGTCACGCATAATTTACCGACAAAAAAATTAGAAAAATCCTTAGGTGAAACATACACAAAATGACGTATATTTCATCTGACAGTTCTTTGGGCCAATCAGTGTTCTGAACTACATGACTGCTGTATGCGGTGAGTGCCTTTGATGTGGCATAATATTATGTCAAACTTAAAAAAAATCAATACACACAGGGAGGAAAAAAATCGGACATTTCAGTGTAAAAATTGAGAACAATAAATTTGGATATTACTCATTCTATCATGGACTTGGAGCAACTTTTAAAAACGAAATCATTTGAAGGTACCCTACTTGTAATGCAAACAAAAATTTTTTTCTTGATATTTTAGCTTTAGTAAAATTTTAACAAAATATTTAATTTACAACAATCTGTGGGATATTTCCTTTTAAACACAAAAAGTGTACAGTAAGCTGAAAATCACTTTTTTTTTTAAAGTGATCATGATTAAACATTTCTTTTTAAATGACATGAAAGTAAATATTTTCCTAAAGTTATCCATACCAGAACTTACTGGAATATGGAGCCTAATCATTACCTGTAAGTTTTTAAAGATCTACAGATGATATGTTGGCTCTATTTCAGTGAACTCTAGGCTATCTGGGAAAATGTTTCCCCAGTTCCTACTTAACTTCAAAAGTTCAAACCCTAAGTCCCATTGCCCAGTCACTTGCATTATACCTTCATTTACAGAAAATGTTATTCTATTTACGTGCATTTAAAAAATGTATTATGTTTTAATTTATCTTAGCAGTCCAATTATATATATATATACTAGTAAAGTAAACACTTTGAAACACTTTTAAAACTTTAAACAGCAATATTTCCAAAGGGCTTATATGGCCAGTTATGTGTTGACGTGCCGTAAAAATCCAAGCAAAGAAAAAAAAAACCAAAGGGCTCATAAAATACATTTTCTGCATCTGAAACAAGGCAATATATCATGAATGTGGTCTTTAAAAAAAGAATTTGAAATCGGATTGCTGCACTCCCTTGTTATTCTTTGCCTTCATATTTTACTATTTTGATCTGAGGAATCCCTGACATTTAGGAGGAATCCCTAAATTAAATCTCAGGGATTCCTATGGGATCCCTTGTTAAAACAGTTAGTGTCGAACCCTGACCTTTAAAACGAAAAATAAAAAATGAGCATTTTTATACCTGACTTCCCCATTCATAGGCTTTGTCTACATGTACTTTCATATTAAAGATAAATATCTGTTCATGTTAGTAAGATATTGTTATTGTATTTATACAGAGTACAAGTGAGGAATCATGTGACCGTGGTTGTAGATGGTTTTCAATGATGGAATTCCTCTGTGATGATGTCAACAAAACAATCAAAGTTTGTCAATCATGTGTGTAAAATTTAAGTATTATAATTTATTTTATATTTATTATTTAAGAGTATTATTAAGATGATAAAGTAATTTAAATATTTTTAGCTCGACTTTTCTATGAAAAGGGGAGCTATCCTACTCGCCCCGGCGTCGGCGTCGGCGTCACACCTTGGTTAAGTTTTTCGTTCCACCCCACTTTATTTCAGAAGTATTACAAGTATGGCTTTGAAACTTACCATACTTGTTCACCATCATAACCTCCATCTACAGACAAGAGTACATAACTCTGTCAAGGTTTTTTGACAGAATTATGGCCCTTTTTTGACTTAGAAAGTGTATTGAGCTTGGTTAAGTTTTTTGTACCACCTCACTTTATTTCAAAACCATTGGAGGTATTGCTTTGAAACTGACCATACTTGTTTACCATCACGACCTTCATCAACAGACAAGAGGACATAACTCTGTCAAGGTTTTTGACAGAATTATGCCCCTTTTTGACTTAGAAAATACATTGAATATGGGTAAAATCCACTTATTGCCTTAACCCTTTGAGATATTGCTTTGATTCTTTTAATGCTATTTCACATCATTACCCCCATCTGTACGCAAGAGAAGGTAACTCTGTCAAGGATTTGTTTTAAAAATTAAGGCCTTTTATCGACTTAGAATCTTGGTTAAGTTTTTAGTACCAGTCCACTTTTTGACTGAACTGTTTGAGATATTAATTTGAAAGTTGGAATACTTGTTTACAATCATGATTCCCAAACATGTCCAGGAGAAGGTAATTCTGTCAAAGATTTTATTTGAATTATGGCCCTTAACTGTCAATGTTTTGTATTATAGGCAAGCACTAAAAAACTTAAAAAATCTAAAAAAATTCATTCCTATCCACTTGTTCACTTTACCATAAATTATGTCATATAAACATTGCTGTAATATTCAAGGGTATCAAACAACTAGTTCACTTTAAAAATACAGAGATTCTTGTATTGCCTTTTACTGCAAAAACTTTTTTTATTGGCAAGCAATAAAAAAGTCGAGCGCGCTGTCTTACGGACAGCTCTTGTTATATTTATCATTCTAAAGCTTAGGAATCAGTTTGTCCTTCATGTAAGGGCAGTCATGAAACGGACACTTTCATCACACTTTAGCTGTCTTATTACTTAAGCATGTGATGTGCCGAGGTAAGGCAGACCTGTATGTTTGTCCATTTATAATCAGCTTTTGCATTAATCAACATCAAATTTTGAAATCTCTTGACCATTTTGATTTGAAACTTCAGAATGATGAATGTTCTTGTTGAGAATATTTACAAAAACAGCAAAAAAAAATGTATTGGTCTCAATGTGTCCATTTGACCCTTAAAATGACCTTTCAAAGTACCTAAAGGCCTGATTTGACCTTATTTTAACTGGAGAATCATATTTTGTGGAACTCATGGGGAATTTACCTTGTAATTGGCAAACCTTAGTCCATATTGGTCAAAACGACTCTTATGGCTAGTGAAACCCCTGGGTCTGTTATCTTAGATGACTGCCAAGAAAGGAAGAGAAGATTTATAAACTTTTTGTGACTGTTTTAAGTAAGTTCTTAAGAGCATGACAATGTTACTCTAACAACACAATTTTTTAGACCTAATTGGCCCCATTCTTAGCCTAGAAATAAATTTACTGTGTGTTGTGATATGTGTGATATGTATTCTTTTACAGCTTGTAAAGATGCCTTCGCAGATAATGATGATTTTGAAGCATGCAAACTGGGATGTATTAGTCAAAAACCATTTAGCTTGGATTCCATTCTTAAGGTAATTGTTTTATTTTAAGTATTATTATAATTATATTTAGTTTACTGTTTTCATCTCTATAGGTACATGTATAATACTAAATAGTAGTATTAATGGCCTCGCAAGTTTATGAAAAGGTCAACATTAAACTTCAAAAATATTTACTGCTCAATGTTAATGTTGTTTGGCTTTGAAAATTCAAGATAATTTGATCTTGTTCAATGTCAAGAGGGAAAAGATTTTGGTCTATTGTTAATTATTTTTGCACATTTATATCTTGTGGGCAACTCAAATTTAAGAGTGAGGATTTGTTGGAGATAATTTCCCTAGTGCAATCTGTCTTCAAGTTTCCATATCTGACATTAATTGTTCTATACCAGTCACTGGCAGGTACTCAAAAAGGAAAATTGATTCATGTTAGTACAAATGCCATGAACATTCAACTAACTCTTACCCTGCTAAAATAACCTAAATTAACTGTCCATCTTTCTATCTAGACAAAACCATTCATAATTTTCAAGGAAATTTTCCAAGGATGTACTGACTGAATAGTGAACAGTGCAGACCATGATGAGATGTCACATATGTGCTGGCTTATCTTGGTCTGCACTGGTAGCATAGATAAATGTAGTATCAGTTGCTACTCACTGTCAGACCAAGGGTTGAATAATCTAACAGTCTATCAGTTTGTACAAGACTGTGATATTGTTACAAAGAACAATAAAGCTTTCCAAACAAACAATCAAAAGATGCGTGTTAAACAACATGAATTGAATTGTCTAAGTGTAATAAGGAACAATAATAAAGCTTTCCAAACAAACAATGTAAAGATTTATTGTTCAGTGAGATGAAGTGTTTACACAGAAATGAACATTGATAACAATAAAATGATGGTTTTACATGTGTAATAACCTTACAACATGTACAACTTTACAAGAATTATATAGTATTTAAAATATAAAAATATAATAATGGCAGTTTGTTATTATTCCTTGACATGATGAGTCATATAAGAAAAATGAAGCTGTTGTAGGATTGTCGTTTATGTGATATAAAGAAAAACCATTGTGTGAAATGTATTTTTGTAGATTTTATAATAAACAATGTGAAGCCATGTAAGACAGGTATTTTTATTGATTTGTACATCGTCGTTGGTAACATATGTGTATTGATCAACAAAGAAAGTACATATCATACGTACATGGTATATATTTTTATGTAAACACAATCTGTTTACTGCTGATATTTAGATATCTATTAGCAGAAAAAGTATGTTATTGTCAAGGAAATTTATGGTATATTAAATAAAATAAATATCTTGTTAATTTGTATGTCTTGATAGATGTTGGGTCATTTGTTTGCTTATAATAGCCAATTGAGATGAAATATGTAAGGTTAAAAAAATATGTTATTTTTTCCAATCTTTTGACTGATCTTAGATTTTTCTTTTCAATGTTCATGTAGAGACTTCATTTTTACATGTTAATGGTTCGACTGTGGGTATCTGATGATGAACAAACCTTGTAGAAATAATTTTATAATACATTTGTACCAATACCAATATTTCTATAAATGTAAGTCCAATTAATTAAAATAACAAGATTGCATTTGAGAAAAATGCTATGCCACCGCAATAAAACAACACTAAATAGTAGTGTAGGAACAGATTTTTTTGTTTCTATACAATTGAAAATTGTCATAATGCATATTTAATTCTTATTATCAGATTAGTGGTTAAATCTATTGTTAACTCAATAAAAGATCAGAGTAGGAATATATCAATGCACTTGAGTCTAGTGAATTTGGTGGTGAAGGTCATATTTCACACAGCCTAAAATTTCATGACTGCATCAAAGGACAACATGTAATACACTTTGTCAAAATCTAGGTCAGCTGATATCAAAGTTCACTTTTAATTTTGACACTAGAGACAAAATTTGAACAACTTTGGTAGAGCACCTATATATGATATCATTTAACAAATATTAAAGCTCTAAGCCTTGTACCTTCAGACAATAAGATTTTTTTTACTTTTTACTATATATGTATATATTGAAAATCAATGACCCCGAGGCGGGGGCAATTTTGACCCCAGGGCTATAATTTGAACAATCTGGGTAGAGGTCTATCAGACAATGCCTTATGCAAAATATCTAAGCTCTAGGCCATTTGGGTCTTTACAAGAAGGTATTTTAAGTTTTTACTATATGTACATATAGTGAAAATCCATGACCCCCGGGGCAGGGCTGATTTTGACCCCAGGGCTATAATTTGAACAATATTGGTAGAGGTCTACCAGACAATGCCTTATGCAAAATATCTAAGCTCTAGGCCTATGGGTCTTTACAAAAAGGTATTTTAAGTTTTTACTATATGTACATATAGTGAAAATCAATGACCCCCTGGTGGGGCCGATTTTGACCCCAGGGCTATAATTTGAACAATCTTGGTAGAGGTCTACCAGACAATGCCTTATGCAAAATATCTAAGCTCTAGGCCTTTTGGGTCTTTACAAGAAGATTTTTTTTAATTTATTCTTATAATTCCTTTTGGTTGCCATGGCAACCAGATTTCTGCATGGAATTAAATTCTTTGAACAACTTTGGAAGCCCTTCACCCAAGGATCAATCCTGCCAAGTTTGGTTGAAATTGGACTAGTGGTTATTCACAAGAAGATTTTTTAAGTTCACTATATAATCTATATAACACACACACACACAAACAAACAAACGAACACACACACACACACACACACACACAGGTGAATCGCTATATGCCACCGCATCGCAGATGCTGCGGTGGCATAAAAATTAAGTGAAAACTATTTTCTTTTTATGTCCAGGATGACCCATGGGAGCAGCAGATCCATTTTATGCATCCAATGACATATATGCACCAATGGTATAGTAATGTATTTAACAATATCATGAATCAAGCGTCTGTTAGCTGGACCATGTACATGAAGGACAATGATGGTAGTGTTGTTGTTGTTAAATCACCAAAACAGTTCAAAGTGTATGAGCTAAGAGGTGACGACAGTAACGATGGTGAGTCTTAAAGTGTATAAAGCTACATATCTGATTAAAAAAATTATAGCTTAGATTCAATTTCTAAAAATGAATACCAGTACATATGTACTTCCAAAATGCTTGTGTGGGATAAAAGCGAGTGGTGCATGCACAAAGTCATTGCAAATCGGATAAAACCCTAGTTAAAATATCAAAATAATATTTTGTTCCAGAACATTTTATTCTGTTTACATTTATAATCCATGTGTGTTAAATATGTTACAACTTTTTCAGGATCAGCCATATAAAACAATTGAACCAATAGAAATTTACTGTTGATAAATTTTATAAAAATATTTCATTAGATATAGATTTATACCCTTTAAAATAGTACAGTTAAATTTGTTGTTTTGGTGAAAACATCTTATCTACTATATATATAGAGAGAGAAAGTTTGGTCACTACCAAAAGATTATCAGAAGAATAATCAATCTTTGTTTGTCTGTATACTTCTAAGACTTGAATAAACTAGAACTTTATCACTTTGTATCACACATAATCTGTTTTTAATTTACAGTAGTTGAAATGTACTCATTTCTGTATAGAAAATTAACTGGCCAGATGAAATTCTAAATTATTGAAAGATTGAAAAAAATCATCAAATATTTGTTACAGAATACAACACAGCCAGTTCACTGGAGACAAACCTTGAACCGATGGACTTGTCCGCTACTCCAAATATCAAAAATTCCCCCTACCAATCTCATGATGATGACCTCATTGACCTTTCTGTCCGTGACCTTGAAGATTACAAAAACAAAAGGCGTTTACAAGAGGAGGCGAATGATTGGTTGTCATGTATATCTAAGAAGACAGGGTTACCAAGGCTGGTTCTAAGCTGGCTATTATTGATGTGTGCAATAGTAATGATCTGGTTATGTCTATCAGCTGCAGTAACCTCCCCTGAACAGAAAGTCTACACTGAACCACAGGTAACTTTTCTTTATTACCTCCCCTTAATATAAAGCAAAAAAAAAATATATATATATGAATTTATTTTTAGTCAGTGACAATATTCTGGACAAATAGTTATGCAAAAATTATTAAAATTAAGATAGACTTCACTTGTCAAGAAGTTGGAATCAGCAGAGTTCTCTATTCAGCTGTTTGTATACTTAATTTGAAGAAAAATAAGAATATCCTTTGAATTTAAAATATTCATATAAACTAACCTAAATTGGGGTTATTTTTATAATCTTTCACTTTACAATTTAAGTCCAAATTTCATTTTTGTCCAAGCTTTTTAATTTCTTGAGTTCAAGCTCAATGTATAGAACAGCTGATTGTCGCTAGAATTTTGGCATTGTTGTGCTCAATCAAATTTCAGGGCCATTGTGAAAGTAGATTGCAATGAATTAAGAAAAATAACTTGAGTATACATGTATTTGTATTTCCTCACAAATGTTTTTTCATATTGAATATAATTGTCAGTTTTGTAGCATATGATAATAGTAGTGTTTGTGTGAACCATATGAGCTGCGTCATGACAAAACCAACATAATGGGTTTGCAACCAGCATGGATCCAGACCAGCCTGCGCATCCGCGCAGTCTGATCAGGATCCGTGCTGTTCGCTTACAAACTCTATAACAAATTAAGGCTGGTCTGGATCCATGTTGGTCGCAAACCCATTATGTTGGTTTTGTCATGGCAGGGCTCATATTATTATTTGGCTTTGTTATTACAGTCAAACCTGTGAACAAAGGTTACTCAAGAGAGAGACAAAACATTGTTTTTATAGACACATGATATTTATTTGGAGGTTATTATACTGCATTGTATCAATGAAGTGTCATCAAATTCTGGCCTTTATTTAAAGGGGTGTTTAATTCAGAGGTGGTCTTTAATACAGGTTTGACAGTGTATGATTCAGACGGGCACCTACCTTAATAATCCGTTTTATTTTCTTTTTGCAGAAGCTGAGTATTAATGGGGATCAAGAAATCATTGCAGAAATGCTAGCTCGGGGAATAAAACCATCATACCCTAAAGACCAGAAGAATGCTCTAGAGTCTCTACCAATTAAGATCAGTGTTCACAGAATATAAATCCACTTGTTACGATAATTACTGTCTGAAATAGTCATTCAACTTTCATTTTGTAGATACTATTTGACTTGGATTGTGTTGAAGAAATTTATTTATTAATGATGATTAAATAGAATGGTTAAGTTGTTGATTGCAGGCTTTTAGTGTGTTGACATGTTTTGACCTTAGTATTTTTATTAACCTGTAAAGTAAATAACTACAGTAACTATTATGAGAGAAACCCACAACTAGTTAAAACCTGTATAGTTATTTAAAGTAAAATCTTTAGATTTTGTTTAGGAGAAAAAAATTTACCTACTGAGGCGGACATTGATTTTCGTGATTAAAATTCTATTTAATTTGATTTTGAAGCATTTACAAAATGAAAGTGGAAAGAAAGACTGAGTGAATTGATTTGAAATCCAGTATGATGTGTACACACGGTCATATCTTGTAATAGGGAAAATTATTTTCATAACCATGGTTTCATTGCTTCTGGCTATATTATACATTAATACTTAAATTATACCAGTTAATTTTATTATCACTTGGGATAATTGTCAGTAATGAGTTTGTTAATCATTTATTTATGTAACGTTTTATTATGTATTAATGACATTCAATAACATAATTGTCAAGAATGTACATGATTGGCTGATTTTGAATGAAAAGAGGAAGTGACTTTTGTCAACTGTTGTTATGACCTTAAGAGTTACTTCCCTTAAGTGTAAGTAAATTTTGTAAAAGACAGGTCATTCTGTTTATGTTATGATAACTATATTCATGTGGGATAAACATGTTTGGAAAACTATTTTTAAGCACTTTATGGTCTTTAAATGGGTTGTTACCTTTAACAATTAAGTTATGATATTAGTGTATATGTGTATATAGAATGGGGGATCATACCATGCATTTGCATGTGAATGAAAGTTTCATTGAAATAAGTGTCAGTAAAAATTACAAGAAATATTAAACAAGTCTTAGATTTATTGATATTTTGTTTCCCTAGTTTAAAAATAATAGAGGGATTTTAACCCAGTAAAATTGGTGAGTCATTATTACTTGTTAAATGATATTACACTATCATGCAATGGTAATGCATTGTATTTATAGTAGAGTTAATACAGTACCATTTTAAATTGAATTGATATATATTTACTATAGGAAACAATAGTATGGTATGCATTAGGTCATTAAATTTTTACTTGAGTGTAAACTATATTTTGTTGTTAACAGTAGTATTCGGTGTTGTTATTTGCATGGTGTGTAAATATATGAAGAAAGAGAGAATGACTGATCAAGCACAATATTTAAGAGGAGGATGTGATGTGTTATACAAGTTTTGCTTTTTGTGTTTGTGATAAATTTAGATATTTTTGGAGCAGAAATACATTTTTAAAAGTAACAAGGCATCACTCCTGGTTAAATGAGCAATTAGTATGAAAATGTGTTGACTTTATTGGTATAGAAACTGTATAGTCTTGGATTTTCTTGTTGAATTGAGAGATTTCGGCACAAGTTCGCATGATTGTGTAACATATTATGTTGTGCACAGGATTGTTAACATAATGTGTTATGCTCACGATTGTGTAACATTTTGTGTTATGTACATGATTGTTAACATGTTGTGTTATGCACATTGTTGTGTAACATTTTGTGTTATGTACATGATTGTGTAACATATTGTGTTATGCACATGATTGTGTAACATTTTATGCTAATTTGTGTAACCAGGAGTGAATGTAAAGTCTTGTAGACCTAGTAGATTTTCTCAACATTCTTTCTTGGTTTTACTTGTACTTTTTCAGATGTACTTCACTGTGTGGAACAGAAGATTTTATTAAATAAGTTACAATGTAATATTTTGTAGATACCTGTAAACCCAACACTCTGAAATGTTGTGTAGAAGGTGTATTTTAAGGTTATATTTTAAAGTCTATTTTAAAGCATACTATGTTTAACATGCTTAAGGTAAAATACACCTATACCACTAGGCTAGCCTTCAAATCAATTCAATTTGACCAGACTCCATAATGATGGTTACTTGAAATTACTATTTTTAGCACTTTTATACTATTTAAAGTTCGACACAATCTAGTATATATTATACAAGTATTAGCACGGTAAGGATAAGTCTTCTGTTAACAACAGACATGCTAATATTTTGTATGTTATTTGTGGAGCAGAGTGCTTTAGTGATCGGTATGCAGTTCAGATGAAAAATATGGATTTCAAACTTATAGACTTATTGCATTCCAGGAAAATACAATGTTAACTGGTTTCTTTTTACCTACATACTATGGTAGCTGATTTGGTACTTTGCGCGTTGTATTGTCAATAGCCACAACATAACCTATATTGTTATTGCCTTTTTGCCTTGTCGCTAGCGATACACGCCAAAGGGAATTCTGTTGTCTTGGATCCTGTCTCTAGCGAAGCACACCAAATGGCGCGTTGTCGTGCAGCGCAATGTCACCCTGTCACTTGGGTTATAAGCCATTCCTTCGATTTGAGCCGTGCGACAAAGTGACATCACGACAACACGCCACAAGACAACACACCGTTTAGCGTGCATCGCTAGCGACAAGAGATAAGTTAGACAAGGCGCCGTTTGGCGCTTTGTTGTGCTGTCGCTAGCGACAACTCGATGCACAAAAGCATTCCAAATCAACCACCAAAACATACATCTTATGCATTGACAAGACATAAACAAAAATAAGATTTAGTGAAAGACACGGGAAGAATGTTGAGAATCCTTGTAAATGTTTATAAATATATATATAAAAAAGCAACATCGTGTTTCAGGCGTCAACACACACAAGTTCTGCCCATTGCGGGAAAACGGGGTATATTCTTACATAGTTACTTATCTGTACAGTTTAAATATTTAATATTGTGTCGTTAAAAGTTCACTTATTGGTGCAAATGGGAGGTCATGAAATACAAATTATTTTACTTCTTGCATCTCGGCATTGATGAGTTACAAATTTTAGAAGCTTATAATGTGAATGTGTTTGTGAAGAATTGAAAGTGTGCTGTTATTTTTTTGATACTGAATTTATTTATTTCTTATATTTACTTTGGTATTGACTTATTTTCTATAAATGAATGTATTTTTTTTGAAATAGTAAATGCATTGTTGGTCATTGTTTAATATGCATTTTGATAATGTAAGTAATCGAATGTGACAGCGTTGTTTTTGGGGGTATTTTTTTTTAACGAATAGGATAATGTACTTGTTAGGTATATGATCTACATACCGTCAGTAAAATGATACATTTTCAAGAAGTATAATAATGTCACTTCAAATATTTTTGTTAATAAAAAGATGTACAAATGCAAATTGTGATATTGTGTACTGTGCTGTAGTGAAATTGTTGTTGTTGTAAAACAGGTGTTACATTCATAAATAGTCTTTAGTGTTTTTTTTGTTTTGGGTGATCAGGTATTCAGAGTTTCAATGATATTTTTATCTATAATTTTTAGCAGTAATTGTTTCAAATTGTGTCACCCAAATTGATTGCAATTTCCTTGTTTGAAATAAGTTTGAGTGGCTAGTTTTGTGTGTAAAAATTCACTATTTGACTTTGAAAACTTATATATGATACACAAATAAGACATGATATATTAACATTTATAATAAGTCAAAATTCATACAAATTTTAGTTGTTTATAAAATATTTGAGCCGCGTCACGACAAAACCAACATAATGGGTTTGCGACCAGCATGGATCCAGACCAGCCTGCGCATCCGCGCAGTCTGATCAGGATGCTTACCAACCTTATTACAAGTAGAGAAACTGATAGCGAACAGCATGGATTCTGATCAGACTGCGCAGGCATAACGTTGGTTTTGTCGTGTCGCGGCTCATTTGCCAGCTTAGCTCAATAGGGAGAGCATTGTACTTGTAATCGCTCCTCTGCATGTCAAAATTTCTCTGCAACAATCGGTCTTGAACCTTGAGTTGTACATATGTATGTTAATGATGATTTTAAAATCATGTGGGATTAGCTGTCAGTAACTTGATGAGAAATTGGTAATTATTGGTTAGTTATCTAGGAAAGCCGGTTAGACGGATCAACTGCCAAGATTTGACCAGTGTATTAATATAAATCGGAATAAAAATCAAACATGTACAATTATTTCATGACTGATTATGAAAATAACACTTGATAGATGATTTTTGATAAATGCTGTACATATATATAGATGATGTGACAGTGATGGCTGTAAATATATACAATTTGTTTTCATGTTTTATTATATTTCATGCATTTACGTCACAATTTTTTGTGTTTTTGTGATAACATGCTACAAATGAAGAATCATTATTCAACCATAAAAAAAAAAAGAGTTTCTAACCCATCTTGGAATAAAATTGTTTTATAAACAGATACTACTGATTTTCCATGAATATATTATTATGTAGAATTTATTTACATGTGCAAAGTTTTTTTGTGGTTTTCATTTCATTCATATAATCAACATGAATTGTGGTAAATTTTAACATTATTCAGTGGTTCTGAAATTATCTGAAAGTAATTTTGGATTTTATGATGTAAATTTTATAGATTTTTTGTTTGTTAAAGATGTATACTGTAATACCATTATTTGAGACTGTGTGCTAAGACATGCACAACTTGCCCCTCACCGCTGTGGGTTTGAATCCCAACATGGGCCGACAGGGACTTTGGATACTTTCTAGCTTAAGCTAAACGTTGATGAATCTACTTAGGTGCCATTTCGTGCCTGAAATAATGCACTGAAGGGCACCTGAGGTCTTCCTCCACCAGTAAAGCTGGAACATCGCCATATGACCTATACTGTGTTGGTGTGACGTAAAACCCAATCAAACAAACAGACATGCAAGTTTCATCACAATGTTTCATAAACTGAATATTGATAAAATTTCATATTTAAAGAAACATGTCTTTATCAATTAGGATATTTTGAAAATACAAAAGTAGTCCCCATTGCAAAAAAATACTCTTTTGAAGATTGACTTACTGGGTATAATAAAAAACACTTGATCACTGTTGATAATTACTTACAGCAGTTAGAGCTTAAAAAGTAATTCAAAATGAGGAGAACATATTTGTTAAAGTTTTTTTTTTTTTTATTTCTTCTCTTTGTTATGCAAACAGATGTTTCTTGGTTATGTTTTGTGAGAATCTCAGTTTTGATAAGTTTCTGTTAGTATCTAGTGGAACTATTATTAACTTTGTTCCAATGTTAGATATTATGATATACACTAGATGTAGTGATCTAGAATTCAAAGCATAATTAATTAAATTGATGTAAACTGATCGATTAAAACAAAATCTGGAAAGGTGTAAATTTTGCCCCTTGTAGGGAACATACCTTTACTGTTGTTATGTTTGTAATATTTAAAGCAGCATGCCCACAGATTTTATGAAAATTGTAAAAATTGTTGCAAAAATGACATGTGCTTTAACATAGCGTATGATGTCAAGTTTTCACAAGTTTTTATTGTGTTATAAAATGCACAAAAAGTTCATACCTCATTAGTAACAGAGTAAATATGATGACAAAAGTAATAATTTCAAATTTCACATATACATGTATATTCCATTTAATTTTGAGAATTCCGGTATTTGAAATTCTAAAATTTGATGTTTTGAATTTTTTGTGCTCATTTAGAGTCTGGAGGCATGCTGCTTTAAGATTATAAACCCCTTACTCAAGTCTTTAGTTTAGACAAGATATTTCAAAACCTCTTATTTCATTGTTTTCTTTTTTTATTTTCATCATGTTTACAATTGGGAATCAATAAAGAAAATTGGGTTACTTTGGTGTTGCATTATTTTGTTATTCATTACTTAAATAGCATTTGCATCCCTAAAAGTTAAAATGAATGACAACTGTTTGGAATATTTCTCAAAAGAATTTACATGTCATTCTTAATGCCATCTACTTATTTAGTTCAATTCTTGACTGACTAGAACACATGGTTCTTTGTTAAAGAGAGCTAGAAGGCTAGCTGCCTGGCTTTTTTATAACAACAAGAATTTGTAACAGAGTTACCAACGTCCCCCGCCACGGGAAGTTTTATATAAAGCATAAAATTGTGTATTTCAAAAGATTAAGGTATGGATCTCAGGACATTCAGTCCAAAATTATGATCAATGCTAGATCTGCAAATGTAACTAAATTTGTTAAAAAAAATAAAATGAAACACGGAATTTAAAAATCTATCAGGTTAAGCTTTCACCTCTAAGTGTGACCTTGACCTTGGAGGTAGGGGAGCAGGTGTTGTGCATGACATAACATCTTATTATTGAGACTATTTGTACCAAGTATTTTCAAAATCCCTTTAACTATGAAGAAGTTATAGATTGGACACAAAATATACCCTATAACAGACTATGTAAATCTTTGATCTCTAAGTGTGACCTTGACCTTGGAGGTAAGGACACAGATGTTACGCATGACATATCATCTAATCATTGTGACTATTTTCAAAATCCCTTAATCTATGAAGAAGTAATGGACGGGACACAAAACATACCAAATAAAAGACTCTGTTAACCTTTGACCTCTAAGTGTGACCTTGACCTTGGAGGTAGGGGTGCAGGTGTTGTACTTGACATATTGTCTTATCATTGTGACTATTTGTGCCAAGTTATTTCAAAATCCCTAGAACTATGAAGAAGTTCTAGATCCGACACAAAATATACCCTATAACAGACTATGTTAATTTTTGACCTCTAAGTGTGACCTTGACCTTGGAGGTAGGGATGCAGGTGTTGCGCATGACACATCCTCTTATTATAGTGACTATTTGTGTGAAGTATTTTCAAAATCCTTTGATCTATGAAAAAGTTATGGACCGGAACACAAAATTTTTAACATAGCGTATGATGTCAAGTTTTCACAAGTTTTTATTGTGTTATAAAATGCACAAAAAGTTCATACCTCATTAGTAACAGAGTAAATATGATGACAAAAGTAATAATTTCAAATTTCACATATACATGTATATTCCATTTAATTTTGAGAATTCCGGTATTTGAAATTCTAAAATTTGATGTTTTGAATTTTTTGTGCTCATTTAGAGTCTGGAGGCATGCTGCTTTAAGATTATAAACCCCTTACTCAAGTCTTTAGTTTAGACAAGATATTTCAAAACCTCTTATTTCATTGTTTTCTTTTTTTATTTTCATCATGTTTACAATTGGGAATCAATAAAGAAAATTGGGTTACTTTGGTGTTGCGTTATTTTGTTATTCATTACTTAAATAGCATTTGCATCCCTAAAACTTAAAATGAATGACAACTGTTTGGAGTTTTCTAAAAAGAATTAACATGTCATTCTAAATGCCATCTACTAATTAAGTTCAATTCTTACTGACTAAAACACTTATGGTTCTTTGTTAGAGCTAGAAGGCTAGCTGCCTGGCTTTTTTATTACAATAATTAATTACCTTTGTCAGAAAATATGTATTCACTAGTTACATAAATAAATAGATTAAAATCATTTATTATTTGAACTGGAGGTTTCCTTGTTGGTCTCGATACATTGTGAATTTAAAAAAGATCTTGGGCAAACGGTAAAGTTTACAAGACACCTACATTCCGTTTATCTGCATTTGTAAAGTCTGTTACAAAATATTTTGGATCCATTGCCAAGTGGTATAGGTTATTCACTTCGAATCATTGCCTCTCACCACTGTAGCATCGAGCCATGCCAGCGTCTTTCGTGTTATTTGCATTCCATTTTTGTGTTACATACATCCATATTTTAATTAAGCAATTGTACATTTCACCTGTAACAGATTAGCTGCATAAACCAGCTGAATTTGTGGGATTGATTTGCCTTGCTTCAAATTTGGAACAGTCAAAAGGTATTTATCAAAATGTAATAGTGGCAATTGTTAGACCCTGGTCAGACTGCGAAGAAATGCAGACTGGGCTGGAGGGATTTTCACTTAATTCTAGCTATAAAATTCTAGCGATGAAGCGATAAAATATGTCATTTTACAAACATAAAACTTTTACCATTGAATTAAGATTGTATTTTTTAGGGCTCAGACACAATAAAATATGTCTAATGAGAACATTGTGTCCATATATTATTACATTCACAAGAAGTGACAAGTCTCAAGTTACTGTCTGAAATTTAAAGGTGATGGTAAAGTCAAATCATGTTAGGAAGCAACTGATTCGAAGTCAACCACCTGAAACATTCTGTCACTCAAAATATAAGAAACCCTGAAATGATTTTTTTTTTATTTTATTTTTTTTCTTGGCTGTACAGAAAATTTAATTTATTTAGTGGCTACGGTAGATGCTGGGGCAGCAGCTCCAACACGTCTTGGTTTTGGTGCAGTTCCTTCCCGGAAACCATTCCTGTAATTAGAAAAATAATGTTTGTAAAACATATTACTTTTCTTGTGCTGAAGAGCCGTGATAACTTCACATTTTAAACCATCAGCAGAAATCCACTTTTACAGTAAAATCAGTATCTCCACACTATAAGTTGATCAGTACTACATACAGTTACTTTTTTAAGCAAACGGTATTTCACACAGTGTCTAAATCATGTGTTTGAAAATGTCTGACTTACACCTTATTATTTAACAAAGTCTCATAGTTAAATGTCTTTGGTTCTCCTGTTTTCAAGTCATTGACAATGTCAATTAAATAGATATTGCGAATTTTTAATCAAAAATTGTGAAAAAGAGATATATATATATGTAAAAGAGGCCCCAAGAAAACACTGAGAAACGATTCCTTTGTTTAGTAATTACAATAAATTAGTATATGACTCTCCTGAAGTGATATATGATTTTTTTCTCATCTGAACGACTAGCCTTTTTCTTAATTAGAGACATCTTGAAGTATCATCTTACCTAAACCTTCTGAAGACATTCTTCATGTGCCTCATTCTTCCTGTACCAGTGGTCCTCCTTCGCTTTGCCTTCTCACTCCAGTTATCTGCAAAATAAATTAAAATATGTATGTTTTATACTGACACTATATGAACAGTTATTCTCTCCAGTTCTATTGAAGACAATTTCCATTCCAGTTTTTGCATTCTTCTGGGAATTAATATTCAAAATAATATTTTCACAAATCTATATTTTTAAGAAACAAACAAAGGAAGAACTCCTATAGGTATGAGAGTCTTGCTAACTAATAAATTACCATTAGAATCTATCCATTTTATTGCGAGCAAATTTTTTAAGACTGACATTCTTATGCAATCCCAAATCTGAAATTAACTTGCCAAACTGAATTAAAAAGGTCCGAATTTCAGCTTGAATCGCCTCATGCACCACTGTCAATGAGATCTTAGAGAAAGGTTTGTCTTTTTTAATTAAAATATAACAAAAGTTGTAATTAATTCTGGTCATCTGAATGATGTGATGTGGTTTTCTTAGCCGCTGAGTCAGCAGACTTTGTTTAAATAGAATAGTTTCTTCTTCATCCAAAGAAGTATTAAAACTAAAACTTGATTTAGGATTAAAACTAAAACTTGATTTCAGTTTACATGGTGTTCAAATTAACAATTTTCTGCTGATGTGCCACTGCATTACAGGTGTTATCTACTTTAGTTATACGAAAATGACTTGCAATAATTGAGGAGTGCAAGATCAAATCACTTGCAATTTTAAAAATTCACTCATATTTTTGGATTATCAAGCTGAAATTCGAACTCTGACTGACAGAAAATGTTTAATGATCTTACATGATCTCATAGATGAACTGGGATAGCTGCAAGATGCACATCTTTTCTTCTGAATGTGGTAGGCACGACGACCACAGCGACGACACTGGGTGTGTGTCTTGTTATGCCGCTTACCAAAACTGGATGTACCTTTTGTCTGAAATAATAGTATTGCATTATATTATTCTATTCAAACTGCGAAACAAGTCTTATTTTAGACTGTAGAAGCCAGGCATACAGCAAACTGAACTACATGTATCATATGAGACTTTTTTCTTTCTATTTTCAATTATTGTTAAACCCCTCACAAGAATTGCCTGCCAATAAAAATCTGCAACGTCTTACCAATGGCAAGCAACTAAATGTATGTTTACTCTTGGTAGATTTGGTAATTTCGTTGCCACAAAACATGTTTCATTGATTTATTGAGGGTTGGTATAATGACATGGTTTGGAATTGCGTTTTTACACATAGAAAACAAGTGGGGACAGGTTGCACGGTTGTGTCCGACCTAGCAAAAATACAATATTACATCCGAAATATTGATTTGTTATTCAAAAACAGTTTATGTTAGGACTATTATGTTATTGTCAACGTCTAGTGATGTCAATAATGATATATAGTCCAATATATTAGACGTTACAGGCTTGTTATAGTTTATGTCGGTCAAGCCGGACGTCTAATAGTTTTTGCTCAAAAACGCATAGCATCATAAAAAAATCAAAAAATGTCTATTGTCTTGCCTTTCAAGCTTTATTCAAAAGCTTATCTTCTTTTCTTTCAATTTCATGCTCAATCATACACAAAAACTCTCAAACAATGTACTTATCAATTTAAAATAAAATATAAACATCAATCTATTTTTGTCTATCAGCCATGCTGGTTAAGCAAGGTGCTTTACAGATTGATTCCAAATTTTTGAACGGAAAAATATATTCGAACACACTGACGGTGCATAGGCAATTATTTCGTTAAAAAAATATTCCGTTAGATTATTCTGACTCAGTTAAACGCTTGCATTTGAATTAGCCAATTAGATTTCGCACACTTTACAGGTCTAGGATTTCGTGATATTTATAGACAGTCTATAAATTTTTGGACGATCCATAATTTTACAGATTTTTTAATCTGTAAATTTACAGACATGAACTAAGAAAACAGTAGAAGTTGCATTAAAATTCAAAACCGCAGGTAAAAATGGATAAGGTTACTTATTATATGAATAAATGTAACAGTATGGTAAGATTCAGAACAATTTGATGACTTAACAAAAATTTCAAAATCATCATACAAAGATGAAACTCACCCCATTACCTTTGTAAATATTAACAATCAATAAAACAACTTGTCTTAAGCTGTGGATTTTAGTTTAAAACTAAAAACAGCAAATTTCACATTGAATATCTTTAAATTTACGGATTGAAAAATCTTTAAAATTCTAGACCATCTATGAATTTACGGACAGTCCGTAAATATCATGAAATCCTAGACCTGCTTTATGGCCGCCATTTGTTTATCGGCTGTAAAAAGAATTGAAATACATGAGGGGATTTAATCATGATTTTTCGGATGTGACAGTTTAATTATTTTGACAAAAGGTATTTATTTTTTAGTTTTGTTCATAAATAGGTCAAAACTTATGTAAATACACGCTGTCTTCATTGTTTTTCGTTCCGCCCGATTTTCTGGCGGAACATGCTATGGGTTTTTGAGCAATTTCGATATGACGTTGCTTTGCCCAGAAGCAAAAATATCTCAAAGCGACGTCATATTCATAGGACTATAATAATATATATAGATCTATCTTTATATGATTTACAGAAGAATTACTTTGCAATTTTGACTTATACTAGACTAGTTCAACTAGTGGCATTCAGCCAATTTGGCAAGTTAAACCCATTGTCTATATTTTTTATATACAGTATATATTTTTTTCTAGAATTACTATTTTTCACTTTGTGCAGAGTCCCTGTGTAGAGTCTACCCCCTTTGCAGTCAAGCCAGTCTAGTATTAAACATTGGTTCGATAGATAAATCATTCAACTACAAATTGCATGATTCCTTTTTATTTATGCTGTATCGTGTAAAAAACTGCGAGGCAAAAACCCTGAGTGGGCATAGACACCTTCTTATGGGAGTTGTTACCCTTGTCTATATATAAGTATATAGTGTAATGGGAATAGACTTAGAATTCATTTCTGACTTAGGATAAATGTTTTCTACCCTCAAATACATATTTTGTGAACATTCAATGAGTCGTACCCCTTTGTTTTCAGTGTAGAAACTTAAGAATTTTTATATTTGTCATCAATTTTCGCGACTTAGTTTTATTGTTTTTTCTAACAAATCAATTTACCATTTTCAAATTAATCAATTGAAACTATATCATTTGTAATCAAGGTAATATGGAATGATCAATAATTGGGAAAACGGTTCCCTTTGTTGCCAAAAAGACATAATCTAAGAATTAATTCTTTAAGAAGTACTTCGCATAAAAAACGTTTAATTTACAGATTGCTAGAGATTAATTGGTATTAAAACAAGAATAAAGCCCATGCAAATACATTGATAAATATTATTAATCAATCTTTAAGGCTTTTATTGATTTCTTTCAGCCGATGCAAAAGGATTCATTTGTGTTTATAAATATATCTACCATTTTCAATCCAGCAGATGGCAAAAGGAAGTTGCCTCGTTTTGAATCGAAAGTAGAAAACTGAAACAGGAAATGACCTCGTTGTGAATGTAAACAAATGACAAGTTTTCCGGGACACGTTGGAGCTTTTAACGGTGTGCAATTTTGACACAATATAAATAGAATTGACTCACCAAAAGTATAAAATGAAGTATATACGGTTAAATAGTATTATTTTCTTTGAGAAAACCGAAGTATCAAGATTACTGTCAATAAACGAAATACAAAACGAACATGTTAGCTGTACAAGCACTTCCGTGTAGGCAAATGGAAAATGTTTTGACAAAACAGCCTCTGTCACAAAATAGAACAGTGGAATTAAGTGAATCGACACAAATATTTGAAGGTGATGTAACATTACTGGATCAGAATAGTGCATTTTATTTCAAACATTTGATAAAGAAATACAGACGACAAATGGGTGATGTTGATAATTCCAATGTATGTTCGGGTGGATTACAACAATATCTCATCAAACAAGGAGAGAAGAAAGAGAGGCAGAGACTCGAGAGAGAAAGTACAGGGCAGGAACAATCCAGATTTGAGCAGCTGCCTGTATGTTTGTTTGTTTATAACTTATTGATGGGGTTTTATATATGTGTGTGTGTGTGTGTTTCTTTTCTTTTTCCATTTTCACATTTTTAAACAAAGATAGAGAAAACAAATTTAGTACAATCAAATATAGCATATAGTTCATTTAATTTCAATTAAGTGGAATAATGGAAGATAATGAAAATATTTGAAGAAGAAAATTAAATGGTTACTTAATTTAGTTAATAATAATAATAATAATAATGATAATAATAATGATAATAATAATAATAATGTTAGCATCTGCAGCCTTATCATGTCATTGGTTTTTTTTTTAAATTTTCACCATTATACATTGTTCCCGAATGTTGCTTTTTTCACAAGGCATTTAATGCAAGTAGCAAGTTACCAGTAAATATTAAATGTAGAATTAAAAGCATTGGTTATTTTCAATATTCTTTCAGGGATTTGATATAACAATAATGTAATGTTTCTCCATGATTCTTTTTATTTATTTATCTATTTATTTGCATGGTTTTCACATGCATATTGAGTGGTACATGTATATCACCTTCCAGTTATGATCAGAATAGATTTTTGGGAGTAATATGTAGATGTAATGAAATGAAATATTTTCTAATTAGTATTTATTTCTTTTTCAGGTTGATGTAAGACTGCATATATTTTCATTCCTGACTGCCAGTGATTTATGCAGATCTTCACGAGTTTGTCGCAGTTGGTATGACATCACAGAGGACAATTTGCTGTGGGCAGGCCTTTTAGAACGAGACATTAAACATTGGAATATGATTGGCCATAACACCAACCCTGCCATGTATAAAGAAGTTAACTCTGACTGGTCAAACAAGGAAATGTAAGCTTCATAAGTCTTCTCTGGTTTTATATTGAAGTTAAAAGTTGAGCTTTATGTACTTTGCACTTCATTTATGCAGACCTGAATAAAGTCCCTGGAGAATGTTATACCGACAAAACTAATTTTTGGAGCTTGTGTACAGTAAACAGAGTTTATGTATGGGATTGGGTTTTTATAATTATTATATTATTAGGAAATTAGGGAAAGTTTTCTTGGATAATTAAATTAATGAAAAGTCATAATTTCAGTTAAAAGAATATATCAATATTTGTTATAATAGATACATGTTTTTTATGATATTGAAAGAACATGAAATACTAGAATATTTATATAATTAATTTTGTAATTTGACTTCATTTGTACAACATATATTATAACCTTACAGATACTTAAGATGTTCACCAGAAGTGACAAAATTGATGCACCAACAAAATGCTTTATTTAGCAACATTTCAAGCATGCTGCGTTATTTTTTACCAAAGAAGACACCTTTATTTGCTATGTTTGGACCTGGTTTAGAGTCAAATACAAGTGGACTAGTTAGAAAAATCATGGAAGATTCAGAATTTCAAAGTGTTGGAATGTTTCCAGGAAAATTTGAAGGTACTAATTCTTATGATTAAGCCTATATGACATTTTTCTAGAAGTTCTATAATAGTATATTATATTATAAAATAGTATTTATAGCTTCTAAATTTCAATTTCAGTTTACATCATGATAGCGTTAAAAGATATTTAGAGTTTGTAACTTACCCAAGACAGGAAACCACAAGTGTCGTTGTAATGAACTAACAATTTTTATCAATGAAATAATTACTGTATGATATAGGTTGACATTTTTTTCTTCCACATCAGGTGTTGGTGGTGGTTTTACACTGAAGAGTCCTGCTGGTTCCCAATTCAATTTATCAGTGATGTACTCAGCATCTAAAAGAGAAAGAGAACAAGCTAATAGGGATCGTAACCATGGGAATAAATTTATGAGAGTGAAAAAGAACACAGAAGGAGAAGAGAGTTATGAACTTCTTCCAAATGTACAAGATTTTTGTAGAACTGTTGACGGATTTATTTATGTTGTTGATTCATCACCAAGCTGCCCAGCAGGTTTGTAAATCTATGAAATTAAATTTATGTATTAAAGCTACTCTCCCACACATTGTAGTTTGGGCATTTTTGAAATAACCATGATAATAGGGGTGTTTATATCTGTGTCAAGTGAAACATAACAACTGTTAGGTCACATGTAGTTATCTTATGGAAACTATTTTTTTTACTTATTTGCATATTTAATTACCGTACTGTAAACAAATATGTTGTTTTTAGATTTGTTTTGTGTGGGAGTAGCTTTAATAAAACTTTTTTTTTGCTTTCTAGATTATTATAGATTCCATAATCATCATAGTTTTTCAAATGATCTGAGGTGAAGTTTCTTTTATATTGAAATCCTTTTTTCTTTCGATTTAGTTCACAAAACAGTTCTGTATTTTTTAACATTAAATGTTCATATTGTAACCTTCCGTTTTAGTTGAATCTGGATTGAATGAATTATTGGCCATGGTGAGTGAGAGATGGTCAGCAACACATGTTCCAGTCCTTGTTTTATCTACCATAGTGCAGGCAGGCACGCCCAGATTACCATGCTGTGATATTGTTGAAAGACTCAAACTTGCAGATCTCAACAGACCTTGGCAGGTAGGTTACATTCGTTATGTACAGCAAGTTTAAACCACCATAGTTTTTGTTTGATGTTTTCTCTGATGAGAGTTATAATGCAGTTGTATATAAAATATCATTTATTTATCAGAATTTATGATTATTATAGAAAAAAAATATTTTCATGTTGTTTTCAATTATAGAAATTGGTAACCAACAACAATTATTTTTGTTGTGTTTTGTAAAAGTTGTGTGTATGTACAAGTATTATAAAACATAAATGGGTTTCTTTGTTATATGATTTGTTTGATTAGCATTAAACACTGACTCAGTATTTTATTATTTTATGCAACATAATGAACATATTAATTTTCTTATGTAGGTACGAGACTGTTCTATCGACACAAGGGAAGGGGTATTAGAAGGCTTTACATGGCTAGCAGAACAAACTCAAAGGAAGTAAATACCACAGAAAGGAAGTAAATACCACAGAAAGGAAGTAAATACAACAGAAACTACAACAAAAAAGTGTTAACTTAAGGATCTCTGTTTAAGAATGTTACGGAAATTATAAATTGAGATTGTAAATGATCACACATCAATAACAGAACTTTGGTAGCTATCACATAGTTGTTTTCCAATTTAATATATCTGGCTCCACTTTCTGATGAAGAAGGAAAGCTATTGACTTTCACCTCTTCTTGAGGTTGATATTGGTTAACATTTTTATATATTTAGATCCATTTCTTAAGAACAGAAAAAGCCAGTATATTCAAACATTGATTATGTTTGTCATCAAAAATGGAAACAATCAACAAAGTGGTGACAATGTTGAGGATTGCCTTTAGACCAGTTCTTATTTCTACTGTACATCAGTGCTAAATACATTAAAGAATTGCAAAGTAAGAAATAGACACTATAAGGGAAGACATTTTATGTGACTATTTATTGACTAGAGCTGTGATCAATTAATTGTTATTTCTACTTTACGTTGTTTATTGTTTTGTGTATTCTTTAAATATAATAAACATTGTTTACATTTATATGTACTATACATTCCATATATTTATCATTTGCACAATATATAAGTTTGAATTATTCATAATAAATTAAAGATGTTTCATAAAGACTTTGTGTTGTTTTTTATGTTATTGAAACTTAAACATGGTGTAACAATACTTATTTAAAATAACCTGATATGTATATAACTATGCTTTTAAAGCAACCACACCTCTACATTTATGCTCATTCTTTTTTTTGTCAAGTCGAAGTGAATTAGATATTTTTTCAAAAGATTGACTATTTTAATGGCGAGCGACGAATAATTGAGAGGATAAAAAAAATATAAAAAGACTGACCCACTCTTTTTATTAACTGGGTTTTACCGGTGCATTCTGAAAGATATTTATAGAAACTTCTGTGTGTCTTGTGGGTTAAGGAATATTTGTTAAAAGTATAATGGAAACAAATATGGCAAAATGTAAAGTTATTTCGACTTTACCGGTTTCCTCGACATTAACACTTGAATGGGAATATTGTCATCTTAACAAGTTAACAAATTAATTAGTTTTAACCGAGCCAAAGCCATTTACAATCAGCAGGCCATATATCTGGTCAAACTGAAACTGTAAAGGTCATATGAAAGTAAATCTAGCTTTACTGCAGAGAAATACACTTTGTTGTGGTAAAACCACCAACATTCCATCAGCTAGCTCAGTCAGCTGTCCCAGCTGAAATATATCTGTTCTGGTGGAATTTCAAGTCCAAAATCTTTACTGTTTGGCCACCAAGACACCTTAAAGATATACAATGCTCAAATTTAATATTAGAAAATATTGATAATTGCTACACCCTATCTTTGTAAATATAAAACAAACACGTTAGACTTCACACAAAGAGTAGATATGGTATGTACACAAACTATAGGTGGTAACAATATTAAAATAATTATAGTGCCTGGCAGTTTTTTTCATTCGGGACCAACTTTACTTCTCCCTAGTAGGGAATGCAGCTTCCCTTACATAGTTTATTCATTCTTTATTTAAGTTAGACATATTCAGTAAAAATTTCATAGATTTCAATAAATTTCTGTGATTAAAATATTTTACTCAAGGATCTTTAAATAACACTTATATTCATGGGGAAAATTGTATTTCACTGCATGCACAAAGAAAAGAATAAATGTCATTATGTTATTTTTATTACTGATTTTTTAAGACTTATTGCACTAAAAAGAGCACTTTTTTGCCACTGCAATTTTTTACTTTACAGGAAAAACATAAGAATATAATTTTTCTGAAATAAGAGCAAAGGTTTTTTTTAGATTGTATCTTATTATACATTGTAAAGTCTTTTCAATAGAGAAAACAAACAAAGATACGTTAGTAAAAGTAACATTTGATTTTTATCTTGCATCTGTTTTAAGATGATCTTCCTTTAAAATTAAAAGGATTACAGTAAAAATATTGCTTAAAAGATTGTAAATACAAAATAGTTAAACAACAAGAAATACTGTGTGATCTGTATTAATCTTTGTTTAAGATTCACTGTTCTTTTTGTAAACCTGTTCATTTTCATGTTCATTACATGAGTGTAAGAACATATTAAAAGTATTTGAAAGTATTTGTTTTCTTGTTATCAATGCATTTATAATGTTACACTTTATTTAGTGTGAAAACTTTTCTTTTTTTTACAAATTTATTCTTATTGTAATCATATTTGACATATGAAACATGAAAAATAACCAAACACATGTACAACATCATACAAAAACTATGCCTTTTAGGCTTAAAAATTATGCTTTTTAGATGTAAGTTATTCAATAAATGCATAATTTTACATCTTAAATTCTTAACAATTCCAGACATGTCATATGTACATGCACCTGGCTGTAAATATGTCTGTGAACATTTTTTGATCAAATGAAGATGAAAAATGAAATAATGGATTCAAAACCCAAATGATCAAATGATTACAAATATAAGTTTAACAATGCAAATCAGCACTCTAATTGCAGATTCCCTGAGCAAATTAATTCAACGACCACATGCTCAAACTGTCAATTCAACAATATGATACAGGGAAAAAAATGCTCTCATTTAAACATAATATCTATTGAACTCATTTCAGAAAAAGAAGAAATGTTCAGTATATACTCTTCTGTAACACATTAAAACAACAATCAATCTCCAAAATATTAACATTTACCCTCTCTGGCAGTTTATGAAGGATGGCACAAAAGAACTGTTTCATTTTTTTTTAAAAAATCACCTCAAAAATTTCCACTGAATTTGGTACAAACGACAAGTAAAAATTATCACGTCTTACAATATATAGCACTTTATAGTAACCACTGCTGAAACAAGTCAACAAATCTTTCCCAAACTTTCAAATTTTCTTTAAAACCTCTTGTACAATGTAGTACCCACAAATATGGCAATGGGAGGAACACGTTGTGGTCTCACCACATAATCCCTCCAAATCTCCTTAAGACCATTTCTTATCTGGCTAAAACACCAACGAGCTAGCATTCATGCACAGGAGCTAGCATTCATGCACTGATCATTCAGTTTTCTTCAATGATAGATACAGAATATTGTTCACATATTTCTTTTCAGGATTGATTTTCTTTAGTAACTGTCCAATACGCTGGGTCATCTGATCTTTTGACATCTGTGGTTTCTTTGATTTGAATTTCTGTACGAGTTCTTTAGCGGTCATAGGCTTACGAGACAAATACCTCCTAATTGCCTCCTCCGTTATTTCACCACTATAAAAATATAATGTATTCAGTCTATAGTATTCACATATAAAAACATTGTGTATTAAGAAGTGGTTCAAAATTGCTTTTTTTCAGGGTTTTTTCTGTGAAATGCTATCTAAGATATTAACATGATAATGCAGTTTTGTAACCCTTTACTTGTCAGAGACAGCTCTTTATCTGACAAATGTAACTTTATGCTGCTTCTACAGTATATATACCTATATGCAATAGCAATGTTTTTACTATAAAAATATTTTGACAACTGAGATAGTTCTACAATATTAGTAATCAAAATTGAAATTGAAATGAGTGTTATTTACTTTATATAGATTTTTTTTAGTTTGATTGTATGGGAAGCTGTTTGCTTATAGATACACTCTCACATACATTCCTGGAACAAACTAGTGCTAACCAATGAGTTTCAAGTTCCTTACTAAAGGAAACAACAGCTTGCTCATGCCTTGAGGGTTTTAAACCCAAGCTGCCTTCAAAGCTTTGATTACTGGTCCAACACAATAACCATTCAGTCACGCTGCTATTCGCTTAACTGTTATTTCAAGGTATATAAGATATACACAAACCTGGATAAAGAAGCACTAGAGGCTGACTGGACAACTGGAGATTCTGTTCTAGATTTTTTCTGTGAGTCTGTTGTGTCTTCACCCTCCATCTTCCTCTTCACACCTGTATATAAATTCATATTGTTTTATATCAGATCTTAATACATTGTACAGTGTTCTAAATATACCAAGTTTTAATACTAACTGAATACTTTAAATGTGTGTCAAGACTTGTAAATTACAATCCAGAGGTTGAAATGCAAAGAAATTTTTTGTTCATATGTGTACATCAAATTCATTTACACACACATATATTGTATTACATTATACAATGTATTTCCATAATAAATTAGACATATGTAGATAATTCAAAAACAAGGCTAGTGACCCCTTAAAATGTTTTTGTTATCATATTCTAAAATCACGCAAACATTGAAATGAACTCTGTTCTCTTGTTTTCATTCTGCGGTATGGATTTATGCAACCTTAGCTCATGCCTTTGGTTTAAAACGTATTTTTATTCAAAATATATACACATGCTAATAATTTCCAATTTAAATTAGAAAGGAATTGGACCGAGAGCTACAATAGCTCATGGTAGTCTTCTCCGATAGCATATGCCTTTAAATATTACTAAAGTGACCAATATAATAAAATAAGGTACAATAATGTAATAATAAAAGCATGAACCAGGTTACATCATATAAAAGGGATTTACCGTCTGATTTGACTTCCACCTTCACATCTTGCTTATTGTCAGCTGACTTGTCAAATGTAGGGGTATTTGACCTTGATCCCCCTTTCTTCTTCTACAGAAAAAAAAATCAAATAATATTTCCATCAGTATCAATGTTAAAATTCAAGAGCACTGCAAATCTTAAAGAAATAAAATTACAAATTTCTATATAAAACATACTGTGGCATTTACAACAGATAATAAATCCACATGCACAATCCAGGTGCACAACTAGACATGCTGAGCAACATTCCTGTAAAGTTTCATGACTCTAGGTAAAATAGTTTTAGAGTTACGTGCAACATAAATAAAGAACAGACAGATGGACGTACGGGACGATAAGAAATGCACACAAAAATAAAACCTTAAATTGATTTTCATGCAATTCTGATCTTAGCCTGATTTCAGTTAAAGGCATTGAAATGCTTTATGTTTTGGGTCATATTAAAATTTATTATTCCTGAAAAAAACAAAGAAGCAAATGATCTGAAATTTTGCACTCAAGTTATTGGTCCAGACCTTCATCAAATGGTACACAAGCTTTAAAAAAAATTACAGGCCCAGTGATTTTCCTACTTATATCACAGACACCGAAAAAAGGCCTCTTCCCAATTGAAATTTTCTTTAAAATCATGCAGTTTTCCCAAAAATCTGAACTTAGACCAGCTGTTTTACTTCCCAAATCAGCAATTTTAGCGATAATTTTTCCCAAAATCAAGAGGCTAAGGCCTCTTCCCAATTAAGTGAGGAAAATCACTGAGGCCTGTTATGCCAAAACAATTTTAATAATAACTGTATATTAAAATTACCATCTTCTTTTATTTATTAGACACAGAATAAAAAATATACATACCTGCATAAAGAGAACTGAAAATTTGTCTTCATTTTTTTCTATATCAGAATCTTCACTGTCAGAGGAAGAGCTACTACTGTCACTGTCATCTCCTCCTAAAAATACATGTATAAACACAACACTGACTATTACTTTACAGCCATAATCTGACTCTAGAATATGATCAATAAAAAGTTACTCATTGGCTAATTGCCTGAACCATCTTTTTGATTCTGTAGCGCTTTTTGGCAAGTGGTGCAGTAACAGTAATTCAGTATGTTGTATGGAAATCAAAATACCTCTTTGTTTACATTATGCTACTTTTATGACAAACAATTTTGCATTTAGTGCTACTTCCTTCAAGATATAAGCATCTAAGATGCTCTAATACAGTTACTGAAACATTCTTAAATTCATCTTTGCCTTTTCTAAAGAAGGAAAAAGGAAATATTTATTTATTTCTTATGTATAATGTGCCTTTAAAAACAGATTCAAATTTCATTACTTACCCTTTCCATCTTTATTTTTATCCTTCTTTTCTTTCTTAACCTTTTTCTCCTTCTTGACTCCACTTCCCTCGCCTTCGCCCTCATCTGACTCTCCTTCATCATTTTCCTCCTCATCTTTATTTTCCTCCTCCTCGTCACTACTCTCCTCATCTGATCCAATCAGTTTCTTCAACCCTCGCTCCTGATCTACACCTTGAGTGTCATACTTGGCATCTTTATCCTTCTCGTCCATAGACGATTCACTGAAATATTGCATTATTGGATTTACTGTATACAAGTACACTTACATTTTACATCATTTGATACTGGTTGAATTTGCAATTACAACTTTAAAATTTTTAATTTTTTTTTTAATTCTTTGATACAGGTGAGTGTGGCATTTAAAACTTTAAAAGAGCTGAACAAATTTATGACAAAGTAATACTAAATGTAACTCGTTCAAATGACTACATAATTTTATTTATCATATTAACTTATCTAAAAGGTTAAGTTAACCATAAATCTAGTACATATTTATACTTACAGAACTTTCAAAAAATTTTCATTCATTTGTCAACACTTTATCAGTGCAAGACAAACCTAAGTAGATGAGTGGTTAAAGCGTTGAAAAAGAAATCTAAGGATCAAGAGCAAAAAACTTTAGTCATTGCTTAGTACTGGTTTGTTCCAGGAACAGATTCAAGAGTGTTTCAAATAACTTATAGCTTCCAACAAAATGGAACTAAAATAAATTAGTATAAACTAACCTGCCAGAATCTGAGATATAATCCAGTTCCCTGTCATCAAAATCTCCCTCATCACTTTCCTCCACAGCTTCATCATTATCATTATGTTTGGATACTTTCCTGCTTTTATTCTTCGTTGGTTTCTTTTCTTTCTTCTTTGGCTTTTTCTCTAAATATTAAAATGCATGGACAGGTTTATATTCCTTAGAATAAAAAAACAACAACAACAAATGTGTCCTTAGGACACTTTTGCCCCAACTTCACTTGCAGTCTTAATAAAAGAACATGTATTAATTTCATAAATTTTATTACTGAGGAAATAAGTATTCATGCTTTGAAATTATGACCTTAAAATTAATGAGTGTCTCCTACAGGCCATAGGCAATCACCTTAAAAAGTTTCATAAACTTACCTTTATTTCTCCATCAGTTAATAATAATATAAAAATATAACAGTGTCACCATGACTTTGACCTTCCATCCAAAGACCTCAAAATCAGTAGATTACCTACTGACCATTGGCAATGTCTTAATACGACTGTAAGCCAAAGCATCATCTAATTATTGGGCTAAGCTTTCAGTGATAAAGGCCAAGGTGACCTTAACCTTCAAGCTATGACCACAAAATAACTGATAGCTGTCATCTACTGGCCATGAGCAACCTCCAAATCAAATCTAAGGAATGTAGGCCAAAGTGTTCTCTTGTTACTTGTTGAACTTGTTGCGATCAAAGGCCAAGATGACCTTGACCTTTGACCTATTGACCTCAAAGTTCATAGAAGTCATCTACTGGTCATTAACAACTTCCACATCAAAATCTCATGACTGTAAATTTTTTGTGGTCAAGGCCAAGGTGGACTTCATTCTTAATAATAGCTCTGTAATAATACATTTATCAACATTATTCAATATTTCAGGGAAAAAAAATAAATGTAAATGATCAGTAAATACAAACCTCCATCCTCATCTTCATCATCATCATCGTCATCATCTTCATCATCACTTAAACCCCAGTCTTCCATGTCTGTCAATATCTGTAACAATAAGTAGAAACATATTAATAGTTAACCCTTAACCAGCTGAATTTATGTAAATTTTTGCTCTGCTTTATAGCTGAAACAGTTCATTCAAATTTTAAGGGAATTCAATATCAAAATACAAAAACTGAGTTATTGACTTAAACTGCATAGAAGCCCATACTGCTCTGACTCTATATTGGTGGAAAAGGCTAATCACTTTTTGTTACAGTCTGTTAAAGCTCAATCAAAACTTTTAAAGTTTTTAAACTGAAGAAATACAATATTCAGACACCATATTTCACACTTTGTATAGCTAGATAGCTAGACTCATTATGCAATAGATATGTATTGATATTCATACACTTATTCATTAGATAGATAACTTTTTTTCATTTTGCTCAGATTTTCTTTACAAAATAAAACAATCATCTCCAGTTATTGAAACAATGAGAAAAGCACATCTACGCTATATTTCCCACATGTATAATTTACTGATAATGGTAACTGATTATTCCTTATTTATATTAGATCAAGCAAAATAAGAATAAGCTGTGTGAGCAGTTTAGTCACTCTGGCTGATGTCATAAGTACACATACATGTAGTACATGCATAATAACTCAAGTTTAGATAATACCAGAAATCATTAGGCTCAGAGACATGCAATTTTCTTATTATGTTTTATTTATGAAGAACACTAATCAAGTACTTGCACTGTGATACAAGACATGATATGCTAATGAGCCATATTAGATATACTTAGTAACAAACATAATACATGTACCAGAAAGCTGACAAAAATAACGCAGGTTTGTCCATTATGTTAGAAGATATTGGACTTACAAGACTTTTGTCTTTCTTTTTCTTGACTTTTTTCTCGTCACCATCAGGATCGACAATGTCTTCATCTTTCTTTATCCTCTTCATGATAGAGAACATGTTCATTCTCTTGTCTCTCCTGTAACATATGCAACATAGGAATATGTGAAATACAAACTTTTAATCATCATTTACTCTTAGCATGCTCATATTCTTAAAATGGACTTATATAGCTTCCATATTTGAAACTGTCTTCTGTTATTTTTCACCTAACATAACAAAGGCCTACTATTAAACGCCTTTTCCCAATGGAAATTTTCTTTAAAATAATGAAGTTTACCCAAATAAATTGAACTTGCCCAGGGTTTTTTACATCCCAAGTTAGCATTTTTAGCAATAAAGTCTTCCCAAAATCAAGAGGCTTAATAATAAAATTTGAGGATATCAAAGTGAAAATTAAAAGTTGGTGCTGGCTCAACAAATGCAGAGGAGAGGCAAAAATCAATTGTCCGTATTGCCCAGGTTGTCCCACAGCCTGTACAGACAACTGAAAATTTTCAAGAATTTACTATAAAAGTGTCAGACAAGTAAGTCAGAATCAGATTTTGCTGGCCCTCTGTATGGCAAATCCCAAAGGGCATTTTGTATCTTTTGTGAAATAACTTTTGGGTCAGATTTTTTTTTGTACTGTGTTGGCACTTTTACTTGCAAAATTTTACAAACTGCCAAATTAGACCTAAACTTTATTTTACTGTTAAAATAAATAAATGAAATGAAATAACAGAAAATGTACATCCTTAAAAAGAATGGGAAAAAAATGGTTGAATTGTCAGATATTAATAAAATATTTGAGTTTAATATTTAAACTTCATACACACTGTCAGATTCATATATCAAACATACTTGAAAAAATACCTGTACATAATAAGTTTACCGGTACTTCAATTTGCATTAAAATAATTATTTTTCATTCACGAATGTCCTTACACATCTCAAATTAAACAATGAAAACACAGTTACTTCAGAAATTCTTCCTCGGCCTCTTCAGAGTTGAGATATTTATATTGAACAACTGGCTGGAAGTTGTACCATTCATCTATAGGAAATGCATCAAATGCACCATCCGGACTTTGTGTAAATATATAATATGATGTATTTTGAGTAATTGTACCTTCACGCACACCTTTATATCTGAAATAATTTTAAATGCTATGTCAATTAACAAATTATCTTTTTTATGTTATCAAGCAAATAGCAATCATTTTAAGACAATGGTAAAAATACAATTGTGTTCACTCAATATTTTCATATATTATAAAATAAGTCAATTAAGCTTAGATCTATACAGGTTTTTTGAAGAAATGATATCAATCTATTTGAATCTAAGGTAAGATTTTCTTATTCAAGTAACATCTACAATAGAAAATGTCTAATGACGCAGTTTTATGTAGGTCAGCAGAAAGAAAAAGGTCCAATTGGCCCCATAATGATATAGAATGGCGGCATGGCCGAGTGGTTAACACATCGGACTAGTAATCTAATGATCGCTAGCCGCAAGGGTTCAAACCCTGTCAGGGGCAAGTCACTGTTTCCTTGAGCAACACACTTTATACTCATTGCTCAGTAGTGGTTGGTTCAAGGAATGGATTCGAAAGTGTGTCTAGAAGCTTATAGCTTCCTACACAATCGAACTTAAATAAATTCTGTAAAAACAATGATATATATATATGATGTCTCAAAAACTTTTTACTTCTGCTGACCTTTAACAGTTTCTGAAAAGATACTCATTGGCCAATGTATTTTTACTTCTTGGCAATTAGTACAGTTAAAGTGACTAGGTTTTTTGTGTGGAAGTCAAAATATTGTTTTTGTTTGTTTATGTTTTGCTTCTTTTATGACAAATAATTTCACATTCAGCGCTACTTATCATTCAAGTGGGACAAATCTTTTATGCTTGTTTAAAGTCATAATTTTATTAAAAAGCATATTTTGCCTTTACTTAAGAAGAAGGAATATTTTTCTTTTTTTAGGCTTAATGTGTTTTTAACTTTTTAATAATTCTAATAAAGAAAACAGATCTGCTCTCTAAAATGTTTCAGCTATGATGTAAGGAGGAAGTTTATAAAAATGGGTCTTCATTGTATATAAATTCACTTTACTTTACTTTCAACACAAGGTATGTACAAAAATAACCAAAATGCTATTTTTAAATATTTTGGATAAAAAAATGTCCAGATTTTACCTAACGTTAAAAGTAACATGATATAATTATAATAATCTGTATCAGCTACTGTCCTGTACTTAGTTATAATAAAATGCAACTACAACACTGTAATATTATAATATTAAATAAGTTAAGTACTTCTTAGCATCTTTGCCTTTACCAACTTTCATCAGCCATGGTTGATCATCAGGGTTGTATTTCTTTATATTTATGCCAAACTTTTTCCTTCTAGCCTCTTCTTTTTGCTCCCTTCCATACTCGCTCCCAGCACCAAATTTTGGCATCATATCTAGATTATGAGCAGTTTTGTATTCCCTCAGATTATTCTCCCTTTCCATTCTGACAGTTGTCTAAAAATATTTCGTATAAAATGAAAATATTGAAAGGTTCTTTTAATCTGCATGATTGTATGTATTAAGAATCAATTTTTGGATTTTATGGTTTGTTTAAGTAGCCCTTTCTTTCTTAAAGTTCACCATCTCTCTATCTTATAATGATTTACAAACCTTCTATACTTTATTAAAATGTAATTCTTATTGTTATTTTTATCAAACTTTTTATTAATTTAAAACAATACAAACGTCTAAATAAGATACCTTTATCTATGATGAACAGAAATTTAATCAGGTTTTTATTTTTATAACATACGTTTGTTAGTTTAAGGAAGTCAACCTCTGTTCCAGTAGAAAACTTGATCATACTGTATTTCTTTGATGTATTGTTTGACACTCTAACAACAAACTCCTGTGTTGTTGACTGTGTGCTTGTTGAGGCTCCAGGTTTTGTGGCCCCTGCACTTGCCCCTGCCACCGGCTAAGAATATATTGTGTATACATTAAAAAACAAAATAAACACTGCGATATACTCAAAACACCAAATTAAAAAAACATAATTTATGACAGTGTTTTCATCATTAAAATGCCATGAGGAATAAAAAGATCTTAAGGTCAAATGCTCGAGTCTGAAAATTACTGGTTAAATGCAAATCAATGGGGATTAAATTTTTGTTTAGTTTCAAGAATAACGGGGATTTTGTCTAGTTTCAAGTTTAGGGATTTTTATTGCAGGAAAGTTAAAGGCCGGTACCGCAAAGCAGGCCCAGGGTTTGCCTTGCCCGACTTTAGATTACACGTGTATATTTAAAAGAAAATCAAATAAAAAACAATAAAATAATATATAGAATTCTATATATATCAATGAATTTTCAGTGGCAGTTCTAGTTGGGCGCGCCATTTTCAATGTAACCAAATGATAATAGGCGGGATATTCCGATAACGTACAATCGCAACTTTTAAGATTGAAAATAATCGACGAGTATTCCAAGTGAAAACGGAAGCAGTGCATGAAATACAAAATGACACCTATAAAACTGAAAACATTTTTTAACCAACTTCCCTGTTCATATCATAGGCTTTGCCTAATTGCAAATTAGTTATCTGGTTATAGCGAGCTCGACGAGCTGGCCCGAAGGGCCTGCTCGCAAAGCGAGCTTTACGGTAACGCGAGTACCTGCTAAGTGATGGTTTTGAAAACTTTCGTCCAAAGTACCGAATTGGACACATCGCAACCTTTCGAATTTAAAGATAACGATAAAAACTGAGGAATTCTAAATGAAAACGGATGTCTAGACTGGTCACCCGCGCACGTCTATGGGAACCATAGTTGGACAGGGAACCAGAATAACGGAAGCTGTGTATAAAAAAATAATAATGAAGGCGCCATTTTGTTTGAAAAATCTGATAAATAAGAACAATTTTTTTGTCGAATTTTTGTTGTGAAAACTATCTAGAATGAAAGAAAAATGGTCTAATTAAGAAAATGAATCCGAACACCAATATCTTTTATTCAGTCGTTAACGCTGTACAGATGTTTAAAGTATTGTTTACTTGACGTCACAATGTAGCGCCAAACAGCACGTGCAAAACAAACAAATCAAGTACGCTATTTTAATGTCGCAAACGTTTTAAGTTTTACATTTGTTTCACTTTAGATAATCTTTATTTCGCTTGAAAAATTATAGAGTGAAACAAAATAAACAAAGTTTTATCAACGTTTTCAAAACTCGTTATTCATTTCACGACAGGGGCGGAGCCATATTTAACGAAGTACGTGTGACGTCACACGCACTCGTTACTGCATTTGAAATAAAATTGAGCGATTATTTCATACTATTTCACGTAAAAAGTGCATCAAGCTCGCTTTGAGGCTTTGCCTTTTTCATATTAGATCTACAATAAAAATTTACACTAGGATGAAATTTTCTTAAAATGAACCAACTTTATCAAATGACAGAAAAAAAGGTGACAAAAAAGGATACCACTTGACCACGGCACGAGCTGATAAAAAAATTTTACGAGCTGACCACAGGACGAATTGATTTGAGATCGAAACGTCAGTGGGGCGAATCGTTATAAGATTTAGCACTTTAGACAATCGGTCCTGTATTTTACGGTAATGTTTGGATATTGAGACACTTTTGTTTTGAATAATTAACAAATAATCCGCCAGAACTATAAATGATTTATGTCATTTTAAGAAAAATACCTGAGGCTTTGATGTCATTTTTTCCGAAATGTTGTTGTTGTTGTGAATTCGTCTATCTTCTTCAATAAAGTGAAATGTTCGTACAACCTTAGAATAAAATATTTCTTAAAGGTCTTTTTACAAGTTGCTTAATTAATGACAGAATTAGAAGAAACACTTTTTGTTGTTTAATCATTCCCATCATGGCTTATTATGATTTAAGAATTCTTTTTTAATTCGAAACTAATTGAAGGCTGCTGCAGAAGCAAGTGACAGATGTCGCGCAACGTAGAAAAACACGCTGGCAGACTGAATAGATTGTGGTTGCAACGTTTAGATGAAGGTAATTCATAGTAATAGTAACCAAAAAAAAATCTAACAGGATTATGATACACATACAAAAAGGGCATTATTTTTTTGCAACTAAACATCAGTTCGTCACAAGTCAACTCGACCCTATATATATATGTAAATATGTCTGGTGTGTTTTGAAACTTAACCTTAATATAAAAATTTTAAAAAGTATTCAGAGGATATATTAAAATTGATACAGGTTCGTTTTTTAATCTTCGTTCTTTGCATTAATTTAGTTTGTTTCTTTTAAAATTGATTTTTATTTGTTTGAGTCGTCAGACCATTTTTAGTTTGTTTCTTTTAAAATTGATTTTGTGTCGCCTCTAAGGAGTAGTGGCAACATATAGGGATCACTTCTCCGTCGTCTGTCTGTCCGTCTGTCTGTCCGTCCGAGCAAACATTTTGGGTTTAGAGGCTATATAACAGTAAAGAGAACAAAAGAGAACAATAGGTTTATTCTGTGATCAAATGGTTTCGGGGCAAGTAGCCCTTAAGAAAACAAAGAAAATAGCCCCTAAAGCCAAAATGTTGGAATGTCCGTCTGTCCGTCCGTCACAAAACTTGTCCGGACTACTCCTCATAAACTACTGGTGCAATTTCATCCAAACTTTACAGGAATGATCAGTATCAAGTCTAGTTGTGCATATTGTCAGCATTTTCCGGTTCAATGATTTTTGTAAGAGTTATGGCCCTTTAATAATTTTTATTTTTAAAGTTTGTCCGGACTACTTCTCTTATACCACTAATGCAATTTCAATGAAACTTTACAGGATTGATCTGTAGCCCAAGTACTTGCGCATATTGCACGGGTTTTCCGGTTGAATGATTTTTGGCCGAGTTATGGCCCTTTGATAAAAAGGTGTTTTTTTCTGTGTGTTGCCAGATACACAAAAGCTTGTCCAGACTACTCCTCATAAACTACTGGTGCAATTTTATCCAAACTTTACAGGAATGATCAGTACCAAATCTAGTTGCGCACTGTCTGTCTGTCCGTCTGTCACAAAACTTGTCCCCACTACTCCTCATAAACTATTGGGGGCAATTTCATCCTAACTTTACAGGAATCATGTCGCCACTACTCCGATCACTTCTCCGTCTGTCACAAAACTTGTCCCAACATGAAATTGGCCATCATGAGGCGACACATGTGATAACAGATCGCCCATGTTATTTGTTTGAGTCGTCAGACCAAACAAATAATTGTAGCGAAATTTCAGACCCTGATAAACTTATTTGCAAAAACCGAAAGTAGTCTGAACTCCTCGAAGCGTTTACTTCCCTTTATATCTACAATAACGCCAAAAAATTAAGGGAGATCAATGCGTAAAGGTAAAGATTGTCAGATGACAGGGGCATTAATTTTCAAGCCTTTACGGGAAAGAAAAAATAGTTCCCAATTGGTCGAAGATTTCTAATATTGTGTAATTCTTTACAGATATACATGCTTATATTAAACTCCATGATTATTATATACATCCATGTTAAACAACAGGTTTACCGTGAACAAAATATCTCGAAATTTATAAGGTTTACAAACCCTAATAAAAAATTTAGAATAATGTGGCTTTCTTTAGGTTGTTAACTTCCCCGCAGTTAAGAGGTTTACACAGTGACACTCGGTTAGGAAGCAAGAGGTCTGGAGTTCAAATCCAAGTTAAGGCAACTTATGTTGTTTTCTTTTGCTTTTTTTTTCTTTCTTTTTTTTGTAAATTGTTTAAGCCAAATAAACATTACAATTAGCCTTATAGCCAATTTACTACAGTTACAACACAGGAAACAGCATTGGTGGCTCTATACAAAAACAAATTGTTTATAATCTCAGAACCTTCACCTTTCTGACATTCTGAGACCCAAACAAAGTCGGCTCCATCTGTGCTTTGATTTTTTTAAAGTCATAGTCTACATTTCTTTTACCTTTATTGGAATAAATTTGCTATTTTTCCATTTGGGACATTTTTGTCTATGACCTTGTTAATTTGCCTTTGGGCTTTTTTGCCTGCCCCTGCCCCCCACCCCCCAGCTGGGCTCTAAATCTAATGTTAATCGGAAATACCCCAAAATCTTGGTGATTGCAAATCTCTGTTTCATGATAAAGTAACTATACAATTACAGTACTCATAATTCTATTTCAGAAAATGCAGAAAAGAATCCAACAAGACCAGGCCTGGTATGTATTGCTGATAATTCTTCAATCATTCTGCGAAACATTTTGGGGTTGACCAAAGTTTTAAAATAGAAATAATTTGCATTGTCACTATGATTCATGAGAAAACAAGAATGTAAATTTTAAAGGATCACTGATTCTAATATGTAGCTTAAAAAAAAGATTTAAAGAAGTTCAAAAGATTAAGTCATGAAACTAGTGACTAGAAATGTCATAGGTTCAGACAGAAGCAATCCAAAGATAGCTAATTTAATAAATCTATTTTATAGCAAGATAACAAGTTAACATTTTGGAGACAGCTCTTCTTTTTGGAGAAACTGATTGACACCTTTGCTCCTGTCCATACTGTTGGCTACCAAATTAGAGTTATGGACAGGTCCAAAAATTAGAGCCAGTGATTTTTTTTTCCAATTTGATACATGTATGTTATTGTTTATTTCAGGGATCCTTACATACAGCTGAGCAGGTGAAAAAGTGGATGCCAAGTATTAAGAAAGATATTGATTTCTACTTGAAGGTAATATTGATAAGTATCATTTTGACTTTAATTTCCATTTATGTTAAAATGTTTAAAGCTATCTGATTATTCTCAGAGTATCTCTGATGAAATATTTAATAAAGATTACTATCAATAAAATTATGTTGTTTTCATAACCATCGTTTCTTGAAAGATTTGTAAGATACAAAGTTTATGAAATTTGATATACATTGTACATGAATATGAATAGAATAAATGTTTCAAAACAAAATATTCCACTGCTGTTTTAAGTAAGTTTGGAAATGATTTCATGCATCCCCCACTCAATTTCAGTACTGATTTTTTTTCATTCTAGGTATTCAGTAGACATTTTAATCACAATATAAACAATAGTTTAAAAATCCACAGACAGCGAATATTCAGCTTTATATGCTTCAATGTCTGATATTAAAGAATTTCCAGAATACAATTTATATAAAGCGCTAACAGATATTTTTTGTTCATTTTAGAAATAATTTCTACTTTCAGCAATCACAAGTCGGCTGTTATCCTGAGGGGAAAATCTCCGAGTTCTCTGAGAAGATTGAAAGTTTAACAAAGGAGTATAAGGCTTATCTACGTAAATACAGAACGCTTGGTGGAGATAGAGATAGTACACCCTGGTCTGATCAACCATACTCGAGAAAACACAAATTTACAGAAGGTAATTTTAATTCAATTACAGTAATCCCTGTATTAATTAAACTACAGTACAGTCATTCAGTCTGTATCTATATACAGACCACATATTTATATATGGACCACATGAAAAAATACCTGTCTGCCAAAGCCAACATTTTCTTTATCTCATTTTGATATGAAGTTAAGAATACCATCATTCGCCATAAATCATCTTATTGAGTTTTCATATTGGCATATGAGCCGTGTCGCGACAAAACCAACATAGTGCGTTTGCTACCAGCATGGATCCAGACCAGCCTGTGCATCCGTCCAGTCTGATCAGGATCCATGCTATTCGCTGTCAGTTTCTCCACTTGTAATAAAGTTGGTAAGCGAACAGCATAGATCAGACTGCGCAGATGCACAGGCTGGTCTGGATCCATGCTGGTTGCAAACCCACTATGTTGGTTTTGTCGTGACACGGCTCATATACACTGAGAGGATGTTCTAACTAGACCTTTGGTTAATCAGCTATATTTTTTTAATGTATTGATCAATTTAGGTTATATTTCGGATATTTATTACTACACATAAGATGCATACTTCTGTAGAATTTTATTCAAATCACATTTCGATAAAATGTCAAACTTAACAGAAAAAAACAGTCTTATAAAAAGTCAAAGTCGCAAAATGGCGGCAAAATAACAATGTGAAAAGTCACTCAACAATATCACTTAACTGTCCTGGTAAAACTCTCTGGTTTAATATTTGGTGTGACCACCTCTAGCCTTCAGTAAGTGAGCACATCGTTGTCTCATCGGCATAACATAGTTTGAAATAGTCTGCTGAGGAATGTTGGCCCATTCTTGGATCAGCATCTGCTCTAACTGAACAAGATTTGCGGGCGGATTCGGTCCGTTCAGAATACGGCGGCCAAGTTCATCCCACAAATGCTCAATGGGGTTCATGTCCGGGGATTTAGACGGCCATGGAAGAACTCTCACTTGTTGCTGTCGTAGAAGCCTCTCCGTGGTCGCAGCTGTGTGCGGGGTCGCCCCATCCTGCATCAGAACCATACCTCGCCCACCGGCACGCAGGTGAGGAATGGCCTCCGGAATCAGAATCTCCTGTTGATATCTCAAAGCGTTGAGATTACCACGGATGACTACGAGGTTGGTCTTAGTATGAAAGGAAATCCCAGCCCAAACAATCACCGATCCCCCACCGTAGTGGTCACGCTCGTGAACGCAGCTGTCGTTTAAACGCTCGCCTCGACGCGCATCCTGCCGTCACTGTTTTTCAAGTTGAAACGGCTTTCGTCTGTGAATAAGACGTTGGCCCATTCAGCACGAGTCATTCTCTGGTGACGGCGGGCCCATTTCTCACGTCTTCGGCGATGTACGTCGGTAAGTACAAGGCCACGAAACGGCCTCCTTGCTCTTATACCATGATCACGGAGGCGGTTAAGTACCGTTTTCTGGCTTATTGATCTGTTATGAGTGCCTATCGTCTGCCTGGCGGTTGAAGCTGCAGTTCTAAAACGGTTGTTAAGGTGATCAGCAACAATCTGTGCATCTTGTGCTGGAGTTGTCACTTTTCTGCGAGGTTGCCTGCGCTCATCTTCAACACAACCTGTGCGCTGGAACTTGGTGAAGAGGTTGGTGATAGTAGAGACATGCCTGCCAAAAATTCGAGCAACCTGCAGAGAGAACAGAAGACATGCAACTTCATATCATATCTGTACATTTTTCTAAGCTATAAATGCTAAAATAATTTGATTAAATATTGTTATTTACAATAAATTATTTCACGAAGAATGATTTAATACCATATTTAGATGAACAGAATATTTTAATGATGAATACCTGTACTCGGGATGAGCCAGCCTGTAACATGCCAATTGCGCGAGCGCGTTCTGCATTGTTCATACGCGGCATTTCAGCAGTTCTATCACTAAAATGTTTTTTTGGTATGATTATTGCTATAGAATACTGATTTGATAAGAAAAAATCGATTTTGAGCACTGAATTCACAAAATCTTGTGCATAATTATAAAACTACACATGAAAGCACGTGCAAATTGGAATATCGTCACGGTCGATGATTTTCATGATTTTTAAAAAGCATTGGCCATGTAATTAATTAATGCAAATAATAAAGTCCATACCTTTTACCATTATTGAATAATTTTAATTTTAAAAAAGTCTAGTTAGAACATCCTTTCAGTGTATATTTGACTTCACATGCCAGTTACATTCTAATTTGTGAAAGTGGCTACAGTCACTGTCATCTCTGTAGGATGATTTTGCCTAGCCTGAATTACTTTTTCCATGCTGATTCCTTATTGTGCTATGAGGGCAGATTGCTTGTTTAATATTGGTCTTAATGAAATTCTAATGACATCTTGTGTTAGATCATATATAGAGTTATTTGTTTACAAATTAATATGTTAAACAATGATCATGTATATTTCTGATTCAGATGCAGCATCAGAGTGTGATAAAGAACTCCCAAAAAAATCACCTAAAGTTTCAGGAAACCAGGATAAATCAGAAAAAAATGCATTTATTCCTATATCACTACCTATCATGGACAATGATGATTGTAACGAAGATATTTATACATACAGCATCGTGAACATGGCAAAACCTGTGGAAATTGACATTGAAGAAAACAATCAGCCATTACAATTTAATTGGAACAAATATAAGGCTTTAGAATATCGCAATGATGGAGATGATAACAAATGTATAAGCTCTGAAAATCAAAATGATCATGAATCTAACAGTTGTCTGTGTGTGACAAATGATTCAAGTGGCTGTTTAAAGTATTCAGAGAAGTGTCCTAATACATGTACATACTGCTCTGGGGTTTGTCTGAAGAATGTGTGTAACTGTCCTGTTGGAAATCAGTTTCAAGTGATAGATGATGATGTACGTAGAAAACGTTGGAATGATAACTTATCAAATAATAAGATTCCATCAAAATCTGATGACTCTTTACAACTTCAAGTAAATTCAGGTCAAACTTCTGCAGGGCGAAGTAGTATTTTAAACAGTGTCAATTTACAGGGGTCAGAAATATTTTCTGAGAATAATTCAGCAAGTAAAAATGTGGGAAACATGCTTAATCTGCCATATTCAGACTCATCAAGTGAAGACGACACCTGAGAGTTTAATATACTCAAATCTTGTCAATGCTTTCTCATCGAGGGACCATTGGTTTGATTACAGTTTTGTTAGTTATAAACATGTTGCACCGTGAAAAAAGTATCAATCCTACTATGAATCGGACGCGACATGGAAAATTTGTTCTTCAACCAGCAGATTTCAGAAGATAGGAGGCTACAATATGGAACATGAGAATTATTCATTTGTATTATTTTGGATATTCAAGATTCATTTTACCTTTTACCAAACAATTTCATACATTGATAAAAGAGACCATGAAAAAAGTCCTAGTGCATATATGTCTGTGGACACTAATGTAAGAAGTCATTGCACAGGCTTTTTTTTTGGAGGCACAGGGGCAAGGTTTCAAGGAAATGGGGGTGGGTGTAAAATTTTGCAATTTTCATGTTTGCTGCATCAAAAGCTACTGTATTTAAGAGTCTTCATAAACAAGAAAAAAAGATAACAAGTAAATGTGACATTTTAACAATTTATTAAACTATTATCATAAAACTAGGAAAACAACACAATAAAAATAAAACATTAATAAGCAATATATACATTAAATGATAACAATGAAAGAAAAAAAAAACAATATATATATATTAACCATTTATCTTCACAGTCGCTCCTCACAATTTAAAACAAACAAGTTCTTTCCTTATTTACATATTAACACTTTCATTTTCACACTGTCACTAATCCTGTATTTACATTTTTACAGTTCGGTCCTTCTAGGTTTTTCCTTGTACCATTTTTTTCCACCCTCTCACTAAAATCCACTGCCTCTAGGGGAGGGCAGTCCATGCTCACCATCATCAATGCATGGAGGAAAGTGGATTTCAGTGAGGCACGGTTCTCTGACTTTATTTTTTTCATAGAGCTGAAGCCCCTCTTTCAGTCTGAAATAGAATATACTTCCAGGTTATGCATTTTTTTCAACATAGTTTCTACATGTAAATTACTAAGATCCAAATATAGAGAGAAATATAAAAAAATTGTTCTTATTTTAAAGGAACTATTTAAAGATTGTTTTTAAATTAAATAACAGCCCATAAAGATTCAAATGATATAATGATTTACAGTATCACGTAGTGCTGGAACCATCTTTTGTTCATCAGATTTATGTCAATCAAGCAAACAAACAAATTATATAAAAGTAGGTTTTGGGAAATGCAGAGTATAAAGTCTGTTAAATTTTTATATGTTTATTTCTGTTAGCGCTTTCAATGTTTTTACATATCTTCAGACAGTAACGTATAATATAATCATAACAAATATAGCAATGACGTAACGTTATAAAAGTGCGCTATGGCATGGAAATAGTCCTATCCTTATCTTTTTTATCTTTGAAAAAGATTTTACCATTCTTTTACCAAACATCACAAACCAGAGCTTTCCTTTTCTTCTTAATACTCATTATAACTCTGGGACACTGTGGTAAGCTCTTGCCTGTTTCAGGTCAAAGATTTGAATATTTCCAATGACATGGAAATACGTAGTCCTGTACATAAATTTGTCTTTAAATTGAACATAGATGGTTTTACTCCATCTTTATATGGAATCACACCATTATTGTATCCTTGTGAAGATATTTTACTAACTCGTGTTTCATAATTTAACCATTTTGAAACTTCAACATAATAATTATGTTTGCTGTGTTTTTACTGAATCAGCAGTATCCTTAGCATTATAATATATATATATATATATATATATATATATATATATATATATATATATATATATATGTATATATATATATATATATATATATATAAAATGATGTAAGAGCATTAGGTTTTAAAGATATCTTATAATGTCACTTATACAGGCATTTGGTCTTTTCATCATATAGTCCTTACTTGATGAGTAACTCTTTTATATGAACTAAGTTTCTGGAAAGATATTAAGGTACAAGTTGGACAAGATTGTCATCTATATCTATTTCACAGTTCACTCCTGTGTATCCTTTACTTTATTGAAGTCATCTATATCTATTTCACAATTCGCTCCTGTGTATCCTTTACTTTATTGAAGTAAAAGCATTATTTGATCTTTTTGATTAAACAACTTACTTTAGCACACTTGTCACACCTTTCTTTTCTGGCAAGGAATCTCTTTTATTCTAAACAATTTATACAATAAGTTTTCTCTCATATGAGCACCAAGTGTTTAAGATAAGGTATTGTGATCACCCACTGTCCGTTGCTTTAAACTACATTAGAAGTCACATGTTCTTCTTATCCCACTTCATCTGAGACTTTTGGAACTCCATTAATTGGTTAGTTCTAAGTATTTTCCTCATTTATAGCTGAGTGACCAGGATCCAACCCAAATTCAAATTCTTCAAAAGGCAAGTCATCGTCCTCAATATCAAAGTCTCCAGTTCTAACTTGTTTCAGGTTATAGGTATGAATATTTCCAATGGCATGGAAATAGTCCTGTCCTTAAATTCATCTTGAAATTGAACATAATTATACTGTACTCCACCTTTATTTATATATATAAAAAAACATGTAAGAGCATGAGGTTGTAAAGATATCTTATAATGTCACTTATACAGGCATTTGGTCTTTTCATCATATAGTCCTTACTTGATGAGTAACTCTTTCACATGTACCAAGTTTCATAAAAGATATGAAGGTACAAATTGGACAAGATTGTCGTCTATATTGATTTCACAGTTTGCTCCTGTGAATCCATTTCTTTATTGAAGTAAAGCATAATTTGATCTATTTGTTCAGATACCGTCATTTAAATTATCAGGCCTTTCTTTTCTGACAAGGAATCTCTTTCACACCTTATTCTAATAAGTTTTCTCTCATCTGAGCACCAAGTGTTTAAGATAAGGTATTGTGTTCACCCACTGTCTGTTGTCTTTAAACAACATCTCCTTTACTACTGGGTCCATATCATAACTCCATATGGTTGTTTATTTGGTGGCTCTGTTTCATAGTTGTTAAAAAAAACTCCATTCCATGCAAAAGAAAGAAAACTCCTCTTGTTTAAGAAGTCATTTGAATGTATGATTGTGTTTATAATATTTCAGTCAAAGCTGATGTTTATGGCTGTTGTATAACAGCAAATAAGATTGGGTTAATGATGATGTTAGTGTGGTAACTTGTTCAACCCTATTAGTTCTAACAATGAGCATAAGTCCTTGGCTACAGTTGGTATCATCTGTTTTCCATAGTTGTTTTTTTCTTATAACAGCACATTTTCTTTTGCATCCCTTAATTTCTTTTTAAAAGGTGTTGATGCCATTAAATATACAAAAAAATATATAATAATATTATTTAAAAAATAACAAGTAAAAGAATCATAGCAGAGTGAATTCCTAATAGATCTGTAATGTCTGATTATGAAGCAATGTTACCATTGTTTGCTTACATAACATTCATTTCACTTCAAATGTCTTCAGTTAACTCACTGTCACACTTTGGTTCAGCTTTTGCATGCAAGTTGGTATCTTCAGAGCTACTGAAGGGAATGGATTGAAACTCAACACACTTGTTGTCAATGATTAACACATAAAGGGCATATAATATCCTTTTTACTGTTAAACACCTTATACTGTCTAGCACTGAGAATAGTCGAGAGGGTTGCTGAAATATGATAAACAGATTAGAAGTCACATGTTCTTCTTGTCCCACTTCATCTGAGACTTTTGGAACTCCATTAATTGGTTTGTCCTAAGTATTTTCCTCATTTATAGCTGAGTGACCAGGATATAACCCAAATTCAAATTCTTCAAAAGGCAAGTCATCGTCCTCAATATCAAAGTCTCCAGTTCTGACTTGTTTCAGGTTATAGGTATGATTATTTCCAATGGCATGGAAATAGTCCTGTCCTTAAATTCATCTTGAAATTAAACATAATTATACTATACTCCACCTTTATTTGGAATCGCAACACCATTGTGTCCTTGTGAATTTTTTTTTAACTATTAGATCTACTCTTGTTCTGTAACCAAAGGACTGTTTAATCATTTGAATCTTCAACACTGTGGTAAGGTTTTTCAGTTTAAGGTTATAGCTTAGAATACTTCCAATGGCATGGAAATAGTCCTAATCCTTATCTTTTTTATCCTTGAAAAAGATTATACCATTCTTTTACCAAACATCACAAGCCAAATCTTCCCTTTTCTTCTTAATACTTATTAAAACTCTGAAACACTGTGGTAAGTTCTTACCTGTTTCAGGTCAAAGATTTGTATATTTCCAATGACATGGAAATATGTTGACCTGTACCTAAATTTAAATTTAAATTGAACTTCAACATATATTTTACTCCATCTGTATATGGAATCACACCATTATTGTACTAGTATCCTTGTGAAGATATTTTACTAACCTGTATTTCATTACCTAAGCATTTTGAAACTTCAACATAATAATTATGTTTGCTGTGTTTTTACTAAATCAACAGTATCCTTAGCATCATAATATATATATATATATAAAATGATGTAAGAGCATTAGGTTTTAAAGATATCTTATAATGTCACTTATACAGGCATTTGGTCTTTTCATCATATAGTCCTTACTTGATGAGTAACTCTTTTATATGTACTAAGTTTCATAAAAGATATAAAGGTACAAATTGGACAAGATTGTCGTCTATATTAATTTCACAGTTTGCTCCTGTGAATCCATTTCTTTATTGAAGTAAAAGCATAATTTGATCTATTTGTTCAGATACCGTCATTTAATTTATCAGGCCTTTCTTTTCTGACAAGGAATCTCTTTCACACCTTATTCTCATAAGTTTTCTCTCATCTGAGCACCAAGTGTTTAAGATAAGGTATTGTGTTCACCCACTGTCTGTTATCTTTAAACAACATCTCCTTTACTACTGGGTCCATATCATAACTCCATATGGTTGTTTATTTGGTGGCTCTGTTTCATAGTTGTTAAAAAAAACTTAAAGAAGTCATTTGAATGTATGATTGTGTATATAATATTTCAGTCAAAGCTGATGTTTATGGCTGTTGTATAATAGCAAATAAGATTTGGTTAATGATGATGTTAGTGTGGTAACTTGTTCAACCCTATTTGATCTAACAATTAGCATAAGTCCTTGGCTACAGTTGGTATCATCTGTTTTCCATAGTTGTTTTTAGCTCACCTGTCACAGTGACAGGGTGAGCTTTTGTGATCGCTTTTCGTCCGGCCGTCGTCAGTCCGTTGTCCGTCCGTCCGTAAACTTTTACTTTAAATGACATCTCCTCATAAACCACTAAGCCAATTTCATCCAAACTTCACAGGAATGTTCCTTTGGTGGTCACCTTTAAAAATTGTTCAAAGAATTCCATGCAGAACTCTGGTTGCCATGGCAACCGAAAGAAAAAACTTTAAATATCTTCTTTTAAAAAACCGTAAGAGCTAGAGCTTAGATATTTGGCATGAAACATCTTCTGGTGAGTGTCTACCAAGTTTTTTCAAATAAATGCCCTGGGGTCAAAATTGGCCCCGCCCCAGGGGGTCTTTGATTATCCCTATATGCATATAGTAAAAACTTATAAAATCTTCTTTTAAAGAACCCAAAGAGCTAGAGCTAAGATATTTAGCATGAAACATCTTCTAATGAGTGTCTACCAAGTTTGTTCAAATTAAAGCCCAGGGGTCAAAATTGGCCCCGCCCCAGGGGATCATTGATTTTCCCTATATGCATATAGTAAAAACCTAAAAAATCTTCTTATAAAGAACCCAAAGAGCTAGAGCTTAGATATTTAGCATGAAACATCTTCTAATGAGTGTCTACCAAGTTTGTTCAAATAAAAGCCCCGGGGTCAAAATTGGCCCCGCCCCAGGGGTTCATTGATTTTCCCTATATGCATATAGTAAAAACTTAAAAAATCTTCTTTTAAAGAACTCAAAGAGCGAGAGCTAAGATATTTAGTATGAAACATCTTCCAGTGAGTGTCTACCAAATTTGTTCAGATAAAAGCCCTGGGGTCAAAATTGGCCCCGCCCCGGGGGTCATTGATTTTCCTTACATCTGTATAGCAAACACTTAAAAATCATCTTTGATAAAACCCAAATAGCTAGAGTTTAGATATTAAGCATGAAACATCTTCTAGTAAGTGTCTACAAAGTTTGTTCAAATGAAAGCCCTGGGGTCAAAATTGGCCCCGCCCCAGGGGTGTCATTTATTAACTATATGTGTATAGTAAAAACTTAAAAAATCTGCTTTTAAGAAACCCAATGAGCTAGAGCTTAGATGTTTAGCATGAAACATCTTCTTATGGGTGTCTACCAAGTTTGTTCAAATAAAAGCCCTTGGGTTAAAATTGGCCCTGCCGTTGGGGGTGGGGGGGTGGCTATATACAGGTGAGCGACTTCAGGGCCATCATGGCCCTCTTGTTTTCTAATAACAGCGCATTTTCTTTTGCATCCCTTACTTTCTTTTTAAAAGGTGTTGATTCCATTAAATATACAAAAATAAATATACAATAATATTATTTAAAAAATAACAAGTTAAAGAATTAATCATAGCAGAGTGAATTCCTAATAGATCTGTAATGTCTGATTATGAAGCAATGTTACGATTGTTTGCTTACATAATATTCATTTCACTTCAAATTTCTTCAGTTAACTCACTGTCACACTTTGGTTCAGTTTTTGCATGCAAGTTGGTATCTTCAGAGCTACTGAAGGGAATGGGTTGAAACTCTGATACTTGTTGTCAATGATTA